GTTCTCTCACGCCCGCTGGCCTCCATTTTTGAGGCCTCGTGGAGAACGGGTGAAGTTTCAGAGGACTGGAGGGTGGCATCAGTGGTCCCAATTTTCAAAAAGGGTAGTAGAAGGGACATGGGGAATTATAGACCAGTTAGCCTTATGTCCACTGTAGGAAAAACAATGGAAATGCTCATAATAGAGAGAGATCTAGTGATGCTAGACAGGGAAGGGAGGCTGACAGCCACACAACACGGCTTCTGCAAAAACAGGTCCTGCCAGACAAACCTTGTGGAATTCTATGACAAGGTTTTGCGATGGCTAGATGGAGGGGATGCAGTGGATGTGGTATACCTGGATTTCAGCAAGGCCTTTGACAAAGTGCCCCATGATATTCTGGTGGAGAAACTGAGGAGTTTTGGGATACACCAAAGCACTGTCTGGTGGATTAGGGCATGGTTGACTGACTGAAAGCAGAAGGTAACCATTAGTGGGGAATCATCGGGATGGAGGCCAGTGACAAGCAGAGTCCCCCAGGGCTCTGTTCTGGGGCCGATCCTTTCTAATCTTTTCATTAATGACATGGCAGAAGGGGTGAACAGTCTGCTGATCAAATTCACAGACGACACTAAAACTGGAGCAGTGGCCACAACTGAGAAGCAGGTACTCCAGATCCAAAAGGATCTGGACAGACTATAGAAGTGGGCAGGAGACAACAGGATGGCGTTCAATGTGGATAAGTGCAAGGTCTTGCACTTGGGGCATAGGAATAGCTGTCATAAGTACAGGTTAGGTGACAAGTGGCCTGGAGAACAGCACTTGTGAAAGGGACCTCGGGGTACTGGTTGACTGCAGGCTAAACATGAGTCAGCAGTGTGATGCGGTGGTCAAGAGGGCGAACTCCACCCTTGGTTGCATAACCAGAAGTGTGGCTTCTAGATCAACAGAGGTATTACTACCACTCTGTATGACTCTAGTGCGCCCGCAACTGGAGTATTGTGCTCAGTTTTGGGCCCCTCATTACAGAAAGGATATAGTCAGGTTAGAGTCAGTGCAGCGTAGGGCCACAAGGTTGGTGGCCGGTTTGCAGGGGATGCCGTATGAGGCGAGACTGAGGGAACTGGGTCTCTTTAGGCTGGAGAAGAGGAGACTCAGAGGGGATATGTTGGCAACATACAGGTATGTGAGGGGATGTCGCATGGAGATGGGTACAGACCTGTTCTCCCCTGCAGAGGAAGGCAGAACGCGCTCCAATGGAGCAAAGCTCCAGGAGCCAAGGTTCCATTTGGATGCCAGGAAGCACTTCCTGATAGTCAGGACCCCGAGGGTGTGGAATGGGCTCCCACAAGAGGTCGTTGAGGCCCCATCGGTGCGGGTGATCAAGGATAGGCTGGACGTCCACATGGTGGGCATGTCGTGAGCGGAGCCGGCTGGTTCCGGAGGTCAGACTAGATGGGCCAGGAGGCCCCTTCTGACTCGCTCTGTTTTCTATGTTTCTATATCCCAGGGACACCCCTGGGGAGAATGAGGCTCTTCTCTTGGTCAGCCACGACCACAGCCACGTTTGGCTTGCCACAGCTGTCAAAGGCTCTTCCATGCACATACAGGGCTTATGCCTGATGTGCAATGGAGAAGGTAGGGAAGCTAGTTAGAGGCACCTGCCTCCTACCTCAGAGATCTCTGGAGCAGGAGGCTACAGTGTCTCATCTACTCTGTGCTGCTACCACATTTTCAGGGAAATCCATCTGAGCAGATCTGCTGGCTCCCAGATTCTAGCTGGGAGGAAGCCACTTGGGCAGCAGCCGAAGGGGCTGGCTTGGAGGGATGCTCTGACAGTGGGACATGTTCCTGGTCAATGCCTTGGAGCAAGAGGCTCAGGCAGCTAAGGTGATGGGGGAGCATGCATTTTGCTGTGCTGCCTCATTCTCAGGGCAGCCCTATGGAACACAGTTCCCCCCTCCCCAGCTTCCTGAGCAACATAATCCAAGAAAGGGTAGTTGGGCTGGGAGATGGGCTTGGTAGCATTCCATAAGGACTAGTGGCCAATGATACATGCTACCTCCAGTACCACAGGCTGCGTGCCTTTGTGCACCAGTTGCGGGGAGACTTGGTGGGACGCTGCTGCTGCACTCATGTCCTCTCGTAGGTTTCCCATCAACTGTGTGAACAGAATGCCCCACTGATGGACCTTTGGCCTGATCCAGCATAGCTCTTCCTATACCCTTACCTAAGTCCCACTGTGTTCAAATGATACTTGCTTCTAGGTGAGGTAAGTTAGGCTCGGATACACTGACTGGGTCTGCATGACACGGCAAACCACCAACAATTAAAAAACTCCACACTTGCTTGTCTGGGTCTAGTTATGGCAATCAACCATAAAAAGACACAGCAGGGTATCTCTGTACCATGACTGTGGTGTCATCTGAACTCAGCCAACACAACGCGAAGCATGGTAGGAACCCCAGGACAAGAGACCCATATACCAAGTGACTAGTCCGCACAGCAGATGGCTGCCTCTGTTTGGCAGAGCTGTCAAAGACTTCCTACCTCCCAAGGATTGCATTTGCCCAACACTGGAAGAGTGAAGAGCCACCTACCGACAAACTGATTCTAAAAAAATTTTTGGACTGTGCTGAAATGGACAGATTGAATTTGTCTCTGAAGGAGAAAGAAGATACAGACTTCTGTCAGACCTGGGACTCTTTTGGCTAGAGATATGGGACTATGCATAGATTTAAATATGTTTATAGATTAACATAAAAAGAAAAAATGTGGGGGGCTGACCCGGTAGGTCTGATGTTTTTGATGAGCAATGACTTTTTAGTTCCTTTTCTGTTAGGGTTGTTAAGAATAAAACTTATTAAAAAAAAAAGACTTCCTAGCTCCTCTTCCCTCCCCCCCCAGAGATCTTTGGAGCAGGAGCAGGGCTGATTGGCTGGGTGGCACTGCCCTGAATGGGGAAGCACTGCCCGTCTTGTTGCCCCTCTCTGTGTGCCTCAGAAGAATGTGCCTTCATACTGATGAAATTCCATTTCATTCATTACATTTCCATAGTGCCCAACAGCCAAAGCTTTCTGGGAGGTTTACAACAGCACTTAAATACAATATAGAATAACAACAACAACAACAAAATATCACTTTACAATGCAAATCTTAAAATCCATATTTAAAATAAATGTTAAAAAGCCACAATAACTTACAGATTAAATAAAATCTATTTAAGTAGCTGTCATACCTCCAACATAATATTAAACCAATTAAATTCCCTGTGGTAGACAGCAATCTTAACCTAGTACTGAAAAGATATTAAGATTGGCTCCAGGCAGGCCTCAATGGGCAGAGTGTTCCATAACTGGGAAGCCACCCTGAAAAGGGCCTTCTCCTCGTTCTGACCAACCAAGGAACCCATGGAGATGGCAAACAGAAGCAGGTCCCAGTTTTTGCTCAGAGTGGCTGGGCAGATTGCAGTTAGGAGTAGTTTTCTGTCAGATGCTACAGTTTTAAACTCCATTGGGCTTTATTTGTTAAAACCAGCACCTTGCATTGTTTTTGGAAACAATGAAGGCAGCTGATGCAAGTGCACCAGAATTGGTGTTACATGTTCAGACCATCTGGTTCCTGTTATTAATCTGGCTTCTACATTTTGCACAAGTTGCAGCTTCTGGCAGTCTTCAAGGGCAGCCCCATGTAGTCATTGCAGCTGACTAGAGTGTGCTCCTACTCCAAGAATTTTGCTTTAGTTTTTGAAAGAAGATACAAACAACCTATTTCAACAAAAGAGGATTGGTCTTTGTAAATTTGAGGCAGCCCTATAACTGGGACCCTTTGAGAAAAACTTGGTAGCTCATTCCCTTATGGGATTGAAGGTAGCGGCCAAGCAACAAAAGGAACCAATTGAGGAAGGGCCCCGGTAACCACACACTCTTTCTCTAGTGCTGCACACAAGAATTAATTAATACCCTGAACTGGGGAGAAAACGAGTCTTTTTTCAAAACCTACAACCACCTAACATTTCTGTGGAACAAAACACACACTAGACCTTCTTACAACCAGGGAGATTTTTGTTTCATTTACTGCATTACTGAAGATTTGGCAGTAGAGAAATGTAATCAATGAAATCAACTGTCAGCAATATGAAGGAAAATTATGCAGTTATGCTTGGTGCATAAGTTTATGGGAGAAAAATTTGTACTTCAAAATTGCTATGGATCAGGCTCAAAAACACCTTTCCAGTCTTGTTTCAGATTTTTCCATTGGTTTCTTTCTTTCTTATTTCTTTTTTTAGGATAAGGCATAGGATCTGCTCCACAGTTTTTGCTTGCAATTGTGGAATGTGTTTCAGCCAACTCAGCCTTAACATAGGGCAGTACAGTGGCCCTACAATATTAAGCATTTCCTATTTTTTCCCTAATTGATCAATATTTGCTGCCTAATCTGTCACATGCATTTCCATCTCCTGCCCAAGTCTGAGGAAATAACAGAGGACTTAGCTATTTTTTATTTTCTTCTGATCAATCAGAAAACATAAAAGTAGAAAGAAATCCTAAAATGAAACTTACTAGATTTGAAGCAATATTGTTTAGTCATCTTGTACAATAATAATATAATCACACAAAGTGCATTCTCAACCCATAGCTTTATTAATAATCAACAAGGTCGGCACCATTTTAAGGAATGAAACAACGGGTACTAGGAAGTGTCATCGTCACCTAAGCAATCTGGAGGCGTTCTCCCATGGCCCTTAGACACTATCTGGGAGGCCATAGCATAGCTCAGATTCAAAGCCTAGAGGTCAGAAACAGTGCCCTGACACTGAAGCTGGGGACTGGAACTCAGAAACCCTCCCCTGCTCCCTTGCAAGCAGTATAAAAAGAACTGTGCCAGCTGTTCTCTGAAGTCAGGAAGTTGACCTCAGAGTGGATGCAAAGCAGTAGAGAGGAGACGAGACTGTGGTAGTCAGGATATGAGGTATCCTGCAGCTGTTCCAGCCTTCTTCGCCCTTCCACTGAAAATGAGCATTAATATTTCTTCATGATTGCTATCATATGATTGTACATGCGTTTAGCTGCATCAAGTCCCCAAATAAAGTCCACATGTTCCCATTCAGGAATATAATCTGTATAAATGAGATTCTTGATTCGTGCCCGTAACATTGCCACATCTTTTGGTTGTACAATTAAGTCTTTCCCTCCAGCCCATATTGCAACTGGTGTTTTTATATCTTCTATCTGGTATACAGGAGGAGTTGTCTGGGGACAATAAGAACAAAACCCTTGAGAACAATTAGTGGTGCAAAGTATGACAATATAAAAATCTTCACACATGTTTATTAAAAAAAATCTTCCAGAAATGTCTGTAGCTGACTTAAAACAGGAAAAGAGAGAATTGTGACATTACAAGAGATCCTCCTTAGTCCGATTACCTCAGTAGTGTGCAAATATAAAAAGATCTCTGTTGTGGATAATGATCCTGCTAATGATAGTGATGAGAACCCTGCCAAACCAGCAAGTAAAATAGGAAGAATAGATTTGTCGTTACCAAAAACAAGTGTTATGTCCAAACACTGTAAATGTCTGAAAATTAAACACACAACAAAGGACAGTAGAAAATGTACAGGAAAATGTACACTTAGCTTGAGACAAGCATACCTCTGTCTATTAACCCAACATTATTTCTTCCCAATCTGCATGATTTGGAACAAGACACCTAAAATGATTTAATGACTTGAAATTCTGATTTCAAATTTACAAGAGTAGAACATGAATTTTACGTAATAATCAATTTATTGTCCTACCTGATTGTACTTCTCCATATTCTTCTCCTTAATGCCATAGTCATATGCATGGAACACCTTTGTATTATAAATCTATTAATTAAATAGTGTATAGTTATAAATGGAACAATAATGTCATTAACAGATTAAGAATTAGTATTTACATAACACTGGATCCAGATTAATTTAGCTGTGTGTTAGTCCCATCAAAATAATGAAACAAGGTATGACTTGTTTAAGTCCCATTGATGTCAATGGAACCTATGCTTGACAAGCTTAATCTGGATTGAACCAATAGCATATTTCATATATCTTAAATGCCTCACATATGATATTCTAGTGATATCTACAATAAGCAATGTAATATTGCAAATACAATTCAAGATAGCTTAGGTAGATCATCTTCTTGTAGAAAAGGTTGCTTCATTTCAAATAAGAGTATAGTATAAGAATGGGACCAAATACACCATCTTACATGCAGCATTTCATTGAAAGAAAAGAACTAGTAACTGCTGCAATTATGCATCGGGGTGGCAGCCTTGAATGGTTCTGAGGCTAGATATCTACCACACTCAAGGCCACATAATAAAAATCACACTTGACTTCCAGTAAAGACGGTGATGAGATCAGATCACTGTCTGGGCTTTGCCAGATTTTCTGCTTTTAAAAACTTCCCAAGATGCCATGCTATCTTAATATTTTGCAATAGCCTAGCTGTGGTTTTGCTTTCTATTTCTCTTTGCTTGCTGTTTTTCAGAGCAGAGTCCAATCACGGCTACAGGGAAAGCAAAGGCTTGGGAATGCAGCCAATGGCTCCTCAGTCTCCTTCAGCTAAAGCTTATATTATGAGGAATCTGTTTTGGGGGTGGGAATCCTGCTCGGCCGGCTCCCCGGACTCCAGTCTGCTTTGACACAGCCATGAGTCTGAGTTCCCGGCGAGGAAGCCCAGCCCTTGTGCAACCTTCAGCAGGGATGGAGCCCTGCGTGAACGCTGTGCAAGCAGCATCCCTCTCCTGCACCATGTGCAGCAACCTACGTAGCTTTGCGCTGCTGCATGGGACATGGAAGAGGATTGCTGGTTGCACAGCCTTCGTTCTGTGAGCCTCTGCAGATTTCCTCTTGGCTAAGCTCACTTTCCGAGAGGGCCAAGCTTTGGTGCACCTCTAGTTTGTGTCATATGGTATGGGTGCTTGTTTTTTCTCATGTTGACCTTCCATGGTTAGATTCCTTAGAAAGGCAGTGCACCTTTGGTACCTTTGTGTATGGAGGAAATTATTAAAGCAGGCTACGAATCATGGGCAATCATCATAACATTTTCCAGCCTCTTACTTCCAAAACTTCAGCATCCTTACGATCATATTTTTGACTTGGGCTCCTGTTTATCATTACTAAATGATGCTTATATTACAGTGATTACAAAGCCGGGAAAGATCACCCGTACTGTACCAACCATCAACCTGTTTTGCTATTTAATGTAGGCATTAAAATATTGACTGCAATTCTGGCTGATAGGTAGCAAGTAGTTATTACAGCACAGGTTCAACCATACTAGGTGGGATTTAGTAACATAGACAGGGAGATGATACTCTTAGATGCAATCCTAAGGCCTCGTGAGCTTGTCTGGGAGACTGTAAGATTCTTTAGAGTCCCAGCTCTGAAATCCCACGAACCTGAAGCCATGAGATTCCAAACACCCCTCCACCTCATGCCCCCCCCCCCCCGATGCCAGTGCAAAAGAACTACACCCTGGTCACCAGTAGGGCTTAGAGAGCAAGAAAACGTACATAGCTGGGCTGAAACGAGGAGGAAATTGGGGCATTTATCCATGGAAATTAGTGAGTAACATAAGCACTATTGACTTCAGTGGGTCTTACAAAATATGGCTAAATCTAGATTCAACCCATAATGAATAAAGAAAAAAATCAAAGAATCACTGTACCTGAATCCAATGAAGGGTATTTTGCACAGATGATCCTGCAGGAGAATGTGCTATAAAGACATCCGTTCGGCTCTGAAATAAAGCAGATATTCATCACACTACCTTAATGACTACGTTCTGTTCTATAGTTAGAATTAGAAGGCATCTTTTTGGAATCTAGTGATCTTATCATGTTCTAGAATGTTACTACTGCATTAAGGTTTATTGTACATATTACCTCTGCTGTTCGGTGTTAGACGTCTTATAGTTCAGATCTCAGTGCAGAGATTTACAGGCTGACACAGGTCAGTGATCATAATATCATCCTAGGCTTGTTGTATGCACCGTGGCTTTGCTTGCCTCAAGTTCAGAGGCTGAAACAGCAATGCAAGAATTCATAGCGGGAGGCCTGGCTCCACTGACTCCTGTTCCACTGACTCCTTCTTTGAGCAAAATTTGGCTCTGCAACCCATTTTTGAGGATCCAATAAGGTTTTGGTGTGGGGAGAAGGGGTGGATTGCTCCCATATGGCAAAGCCAGATAACACTAGCTCACTTGTGAGGCTAAAGATTTTATGGTTCATTCTATGGTATCTAATGTGCACATGGACTTCACATTGTTTATGCGATTTCTCAGGTTATGAAAGATATTAGAACCCTCTTAACAGCTAAAATCACATCTAATAATTAGGACACCAAAATAAAAAAGATACAGAGAATATGTGCCTATGTGGCTTCTATTCAACACAATTAATTCTTTTAATGTTATCATTTTACATGGGTGCCCCTCAGTGCTTTTTTTGTAAGAAAAACGGTGCCGGAACTCATGAAATTATTTATCTTTCGCACATAGTCAATCACTGTACACACATCCACACACGTCAGTTGTGTAACGAAACATAACGGTCGCCGCCCACAGTAAGCACTCAGCGCACGACCACACGACCAATCACAAGCCGAGCAGCGTCATCACAACCAGTGCAGACAAGGTACACATGCATTAGATTCGACACACAAGCAGCCCACATACACCATTTTAATGATTTTGCCGCCGACCTGCTGTGCTCGACGGGGCAATTCAAATCCACGTGGACCAAACATCAAATTTTCAAAAGTTACTTTTAAAACTTGGAAAATCTGTTGAAAAATGTGCCGGAACTCCGTTCTGGTGCGTTCTATGACAAAAAAAGCACTGGTGCCGCTTCTCAGGGACTCACTGCTATGTCATTCAAACATGACATGAGATGCAAATGTGAAAGGTTTTCCTTCCTTGCCTTGTCTTGGGCAACTGTGAATCAGCTTCACAGCCACTTCAAGGAATTCATTGCAACTTGGATCTGATGGTCTAATTATGGTAAAATGCAAGCAGTAACGGGGCAAGTCCCCTTCATGGATCACTGCCTTGTCGTGGCGAAGGGGCTTGTGTAGCTCAATGAAGCTATGAGCTATGCCGTGCAGGGTCACCCGAGATGGACGGGTTATAGCAGAGAGCTCTGACAAAACGTAATCCACTGGAGAAGGAAGTGGCAACCCACTCCAGTATCTTTGCCATGAAAACCCCATGGACTGTACCAAAAGGCAAAAAGATATGACGCCGGAAGATGAGCCCCTCAGGCAGGAAGGTGTCCAATATGCTACTGGGGAAGAGCAGAGGACTAGTACTAGTAGTGCCAGAAAGAATGAAACGACTTGGTCAAAGTCGAAAGGACACTCAGTTGCAGATGTATCTGGTGGTGAAAAGTGAGTCTGATGCTTTAAAGATCAATACTACATAGGAACCTACAACACCTTCTAGAATTAACACCAAAAAATGATGTCCTTATCATCAAGGGGGATTGGAATGCTAAAGTAGGAAGCCAAAAGATAACCAGAATAACAGGCAAGTTTGGCCTTGGAATACAAAATGAAGCAGGGCACCGGCTGGTAGAATTTTGTCAAGAGAATTCAATGGTCATAGCAAACACTTTTCCAACAACCCAGAAGACGACTCTACACATGGACATCACCAGATGGTCAACACAGAAATCAGATTGACTATGTGCTCTGCAGCCAAAGATGGAGAAGTAAAAACTAGACCAGGAGCTGACTGTGGCTCAGATCATGACCTTCTTGTTGCAAAATTTAGGCTTAAATTGAAGAAAGTAGGGAAAAGCACTAGGCCACTCAGGTATGACCTGAATCATATCCCTGATGAATATACAATAGAGGTGACACATAGATTTAAGGAATTAGATCTGATAGAAAGAGTGCCTGAAGAACTATGGACAGAAGTTTGCCATGAGCACTCCCCCTTGCGAGGGGCTATAGCATCCCTCCACTGGGAATGCCCTTCCCAGGGAGCTCTGGCTGGCATCTCCCTTTTAGCAATTCTGATGGCAGGCTAAAAACATTCTCTTCTAGCAGACAATTAATCTCTATTTTCATGGTTTCTTATCTTAAATTGTTGATAAATCCATCAGCTGTACTGGATGCTATTTCCCAATTGTTTGGGGTGGGGGGTCTGAGATCATGACTAACTCAAGAGTATTTATCAGGTGAGCAGTTTATGAACCAAGTAAATAAATCTCCATCCTCTGTTGTACCAGCACTTTAAAGAGAATTGAAATCATAGTCTTTCCCCTGATATTTCTGGTAGAATTCAACTTGGTCTTATTTAAAATATCAGGGAGGCCCATTCCCAGGGAATGTTATCCCCTGCTACCCACAGGCTAACTGAACCTAAACTCCAACATGACTCAGATTTCCTTAGGGTTACAAAGTAAAGATTTCCACTTACCATGTTTAAATTGGGCATATTATTTCCACAGACGAAGGACACCATATCAACACAATATTTAGGGAAATACATACACAATGTAGTTAATAGCTTTCTCAGATGGGTAGGGTACAGCAATATTCCTTTGCTGCCACATACAACCTGAAATATACAATATTTGTAATAAGCTATCACTAAGGCAAGTATCAGTCCATGCCTTGACTTCCAGTATGCATTTTCTGCTCTGCCCTTCTATATTTTCCATTATCTGGAGTTCTGCATCCAGTTCTGGGCACCACAGTTTAAGAAAGCAGCAAAGGTTCAGAGGAGGGCAACAAAAACAATCCAGAAGCTGCAGACAAAACCCTGGGAGAAGAGACTGCAAGAATTGCAAGAAGACTGCAAGAAGAGCCAGTGTGCTGTAGTGGTTAAGAGCATGGGACTGGGACTCAGGCGACCTGGGTTCTAGTCTCCGCTCAGCCATGGAGCCAACTGGGTGACTTTGGGCCAGTCACAGACTCTCAGTCCAACCTACCTCACAGGGTTGTTGCTGTGGGGATAAGATGGAGGAGGAGATGTAAGCTGCCTTGAGCCCTTTGTAGGAAAAAGGCAGGATATAAATCAAAAAATAAACAAATAAATAAATAAATTGCACTCATTAGCCTTGAAAACAGAATACTGAGGGACAGTATGACAGTGTTCCTTTGGTACTTGAAAGGCTATTACACAGAGGAGGGACAGGTTCTCTTCTTGATTGTCCTTGAATACAGGACACGGAATAATGTGCTCAAGTTACAGGAAGGCTGATTCTGGCTGAACATCAGGAAAAACTTCCTGTTACAGCAGTACAATCATGGAACCAGTGTCCTAGGGAGCTTGTGGGCTCTCCTACACTGGAGATGCCCACTGGATGTAAACAGCAAAGGGGACAAAATGGACCCCTGGGGAACTCCCATGGCATAGCTGCCATGGCGCAGAGCCATAGTCCCCCAGTACCACCTTCTGGAATTGAGATAGGAGTGGAACCACAGCAAAGCAGTGCCTCCAACCCCCAATCCCGCTAGCCTATCCAGAAGGATACCATGGTTGATGGTATCGAAAGCCGCTGAGAGGTCCAGAAGAACCAACAGGGACGCACTCCCCCTGTCCTTCTCCCTGCACAGGTAATCGTACAGGGCGACCAAGGCAGATTCAGTACCGTACCCGGGTCTGAAGCCGGACTGAAATGGGTTCAGATAATCAGTTTCATCCAAGAGAGCTTGGAGTTGTCCCGTCACCACCCGCTCCAACACCTTGCCCAGAAACGGGATCTTGGCCACTGGTCTATAATTAGTGGCCATCTCTGGATCCAGTGACGCTTTCTGCAGGACCGGTCGGACTACCGCCTCCTTTAAAGGGGCAGGCATCCGACCCTCCCTCAGAGAAGTGTTAACCACTTCCAAGATCCAGATCCCAATCCCATGCTTGGAGTTATTTATTAACCAAGACGGGCAAGGGTACAATAGGCAAGTGGTGGGACATACTCGTCCAAGCACCTTGTCCACATCATCAGGCCGCAACAACGGAAATTCATCCATTAATTTTGGACCAGACGGCGGCATTGGTATCTCCCCAGAAACCTCTGAGTCACTAGTAGAGTCTAGCTCGTGACGAATCTGAGCGATTTTCTCCCTGAAATGCTTGGCAAAGTCGTCACAGCGGGCCTTCAAGGGTGGAACCAGATCTTTCTTAGGACCTGGACGAACCAGGCCTTGCACCACTCGAAAAAGCTCCGCCAGACGGCATTTTGAGGAGGCAATGGAAACAGAAAATAATTTCTTTTTCGCCACCCTCACTGCCACAGCATAGGCCCGATAATGGGCTCTCAAGTGTGTTCGGTCAGATTCATCCTGTGATCTCCTCCACCTACGCTCTAGCTGTCTCCCAGCCTGCTTCATCGCCCGCAATTCAGGTGTATACCAAGGGGAAGAATGGGCTCTGCCCAGCGGGAGAGGACACTTAGGAGCGATTGTGTCAACAGCCCTGGTCATCTCCCCGTTCCACAGTTCGACCAGAGCCTCGACAGGAGCACCAGTCTTGTCAGCCGGAAACTCCCCCAGGGCCTTCAGGAATCCATCCAGATCCATCCGGCTCCGGGGGCAGACCCACACAATCGGGTCCGCACCTTTACAGAGGGAGAGGCCGCTCTCGAGCACAAACCTCACCAGGAAGTGATCTGACCATGACAGGGGTGTCAGACATAAATTCCTCACCCTCAGACCACCCTCTTCCTGCCCCATCGAGAAAACCAGGTCCAGAGTGTGTCCACGTTCATGGGTTGGGCCGGTGACATGTTGAGACAGCCCCATGGCTGTCATGGAGGCCATGAAGTCCTGAGCCGCCCCAGTCAGACCAGTCTCGGCATGGAGATTGAAGTCCCCCAGGACCAACATCCTGGGGGTCCTCAACACCAGGTCCGAGATGATCTCTGTCAGCTCAGGCAGGGAGACTGTTGGGCAGAAGGGTGCACGGTACACCAACAGAATCCCCAGTCTGTCTCGGTCGCCCAACACCAAGTAGAGGCACTCCAGCCCTGGCCTCGAAGGGACCGGAAGTCCCATGAGGGAGATGGAGGCTCGGTAAACCAAAGCGACCCCCCTCCCCTTCCCTCCAGGCGTGAACAGTGCTGAACCAGATACCTGGGCGGGCACATTTGAGAGAGGGCAACATCCCCCCCCTCCCGCCCAGGTCTCCGTTATGCAAGCCAGGTCGGCCCCCTCATCCACAATCAAGTCATGGATGAGGAAAGATTTATTGTGGACCGACCTGGCATTGAGCAGCAGCACCGTCAGGCCCGAGGGGCGGTTGACAAGACTACCTGGAACACTCTGGCTGGGGGCAAAACCAGATGGAGGGACAGGTGTCAGCCATCTGTCCCTCCTTCTTCTATGCGGACACATTAAGCCCCCACTGCTGTAACGTCCATTGCCCATGACCACCTCAATGGCGGCGCCCACACGCTTCCCAGGAAACACAAACGTCGACATGGCCAGGGACGACTCCATAAAAACAAAATACAATAAAACTTTAAAAACAATCAAAAGCTCCCCATTTCCCCCCCCAATACAAAATTAAACTTCCCCCCACCAACCTAGTCCCCCACCAGCCCAGCCCCGCACAGCCACAAACGGCGGCACCGCCCTTTGGCCGCCGCCCCCAGGCTGCCGGCCCCAGGCTGCGTCCAGTGGGTTAAGCCGGTGCCTGCCCGCGTGCCCTGACCCAATCTGGTGTTGCTCTCACCGGCGCCGGCGGGGGGGAGCAGGGAGGGGCGCGGAAACCCATCCAGCGGCAAGATGGTGGTGCCCTCCTCTGTGCCATTGGCGGCAGGCCTGGCATGGCCCTGGCGTCCTCCGTGCCCAGGGTGGCCCAGCGATGGCCGCGGGAGCGGCGTCAGCTGGCCCCCGGCTCGGCAGTGCGCCCGTCTGGCGCACCCCAGTCTGCGGAGCGCGGCAGATGTTGAGGGGGGGAGGGAGCTCCAAGCCCACCCAGCCCCAGGCCGCGTCCGGTGGGTTAAGCTATACAATTATTTTTATTATTTCCAGCATTAATAATAGTAGTTGTAGAGGCATGAAAAAGAGAGCTGAGAGATAGATAAGTTGTCAGTCTAACCATACAATCCTATGCATGCTTACTTGGAATAAACCTCACATATTTCAATGGGATTTAACTCAGAAAGTATGCTTAATATTGTAGCATTAGGCTACAAGTATATAAATACTGTATGTAAGAATAAGTCCCATTTAAGTCAGTGGAGCTTCCTTTAGTATGCTTTTAGTTAAATACATGAAAGCAATTTTTAAGTATGCTACAGTACGGCATCCATGTTTAAATAAATAAATTAATAAATAGAGGTGGATGATTGACCTGCTACATTCATTGGTAATGTAATTTGAATGCAGAAAGACTTACGTGAAACATCCATGGAGGGAACACTGACAGTTTTAGTAAAGGGCTTGTAGCATATGTTATTGTTGTTGCTGGGCTCAATGCAAAAAACACTTTTACTCGTTCTGCCAGTTTTGGCCAAGTAGAAAATGCCACGAAACCTGAGGAAATAAATTAGATGCTCATTCCACAAAGAAATCAGCTGTTTCTGCAGCAAGCCTTTCCAGCTGTCAAAGATGTCCACCACCACCTCACATGCGGCATTCCTGTTGAGCCTTAATGCCTATAGGACTCTATTGCACAACAGAATGTCAGCAGCCTTGCTGAAAAAGGGAAAGGTTTGTTGCATGGTAGGGAGGGGATGGAGGGAAATGCATTGGTTTCCTTGCCTCTCATATTGTCATTGCTATTTTTGTATGTCAGGGCTAAAAATGCACTGTTTTCCATTGTCTTTGCTTCTTTTTGGACTGGAACTTTCCCAATATCTTTTTGGGAAACTTTCCCCGCAGCCTCCTGGGATGTTCTTTTGAAAGCTTTTGCATTCTATAACATACCACTTGCTGCCCCTTCGGAGTGGCCTACATAATACAATTGTTGCTGCCCGGTTTTATTCAGGATGAAGTACAGGATTGCTGGAATGTCATAGTATCCCATCTCATGGAAACTGGAGGTATAAACACAAGGATGTATAAAGACCTGTTAATGCTGTGCTAGAGTTAATGTATAAGCATATGCAAATGTTTGCAAAAATGCAGGAAAACATATGCATGGAAAACTCAGATTGGGTTAATTAAATGAAATAATCTCTTTTTACCCTTCTTGCAATAGCTATGTTCAAACTAGAGAAGTGCAATGTAACATGGGATGCATCATGATGTTGTAGTGGGTTCGGAGCCACCCAGACATGCACACCCCATCTTTCCTTGGTGCAGATAGGAAAGGAGGGAAATATCCCCCTGCTCTCATTCTGGCAGTTGATCATTCCTGTTTGCCCAGCGGTTAACCAGCTGTTAGTGCAACAGAACCTTCCACCCAAGTTTCCCAGCCACTGGTATATGCAGGCATAATGACTATGATTGCTTAATTCATAACCGGAGGCATTTTCCCCCTCCTTTGCACCTGCTTCTTTCAGTTCACTTCTGTGCTTGCCCCAAGAGTAATCAACAAGTAACCATTTAGAACTGCTCTTGGTATAACTGTTAGTGAAGCACTGCCTTTGGGGAGAAATAGGAATAGGATTAAACAAATAAAGAGTAGTTCTCATTTTATTCTAGTTTAGCTCAAAGTTAAATGCAAGTCATTTAAACACAAGTCATTACAGAATTATGTTATTATTAATTCAGGCAATCTTTGCCATCATAGAGTAATTCTGATTTAAAAAAACACCAACATTGGGCCAAACTATATCAGAAAATCTATGTGTTGCTGCTTATGGATCTGCCAGGTACGTACATAGGCTCCAGGGTGCACAAGGTTTTGTCCCTGATGGCTGAATTTGATGCTGACTTCAGGGTCAGAAAGTGCACACAAAGTGCATACAAGTGCATACATGTGTATTCCCCCCACCCACACATCCATGCACGGACACACACAGAATCCTGATGCAAATTGCTCTTTCCTTGCTCCTCTCCATGATACCCTCTGGAAGAGAAGGGAAAGAACTTTCTTTCCACCCACTCCATAATGACGCACACAACTCTTTTCTCCTTAATTGCAGTGGTAGAAATGAGTGCTCTATATCAGGATCACTGTGGGATAGAATAGAGAGGAGGCCCCAGGGAGAAACAAGTTGTACCCCAATGCAGGTTCTGCCACAGCTCACGTACGCACACATGGTCTGTGTATTTGTAGAATGAAAGCTGCAATTGGATGGGGGGAACTGAACCCCCTCACTTCCTTCCAACTATTCCGTGGCACTCTGTCACTGCTATCATGCTTGTTCTAACCCAGCTGTGTAACTGGAAGGAAATGGCCCAAAACAAGGAGCTTGGCAATTGAAAAATGGAACATGAAAATGGAGCTTGGCAAGTTAAAATAAGGGTGGGCCAGAATTACGTACCTTTCACCTACATGTGGTTCTGGCTGCTGGCTTTCGAGGACACTTAAGCAAGACAACCTCAGTGAACCTGCTTCCTCAGTGTGTCTACCTTCTCACCATCAGAGTCCCCAGCTGCTGCTGTTCCTCACACTGTTCCTCATCATTGCTACTCCTAGCTTACTTGATAAGCAGAGAGTCAGTGACTAAGTAGGCAAGAGTGAAGGGCAGGTGTTGGCTCTCAGCAGGCGCCCAACCATGCCTACTGTTGATGGGTGTCATGCTTACATTCAGCTTTAGGTGCAACACAAGTCCTTCTCCATTTTATATATAAACAGGAGAGCAAGGAGCACTAACCATTTCTAGTTTCACTCCTAGACACACAGGACAGTCACTTTCATAAATATAACGACAGAAGATGCTATCAGTTGCCCACCAAGTCTCACCATTTGTGTGTTCTGTTACCTAAATTCCCAGAATTTCTTTTCTTTTGGGCTCAGTGTCTTATGTTTTCTAGACCAGGTATTCCCTCTGCTGTTTCCAAGCCAAACGTCATAGCCAGCATCTGCTAGAATAAAGCCCAAACTATTGTTGGGCAGATTGGAAATCCAGTGGGAAGCATCTCCAAATGCTGCATGTTGCAAAAATACAACAGGTCGTGGATCTGTAAAAGAGGATGAGATCACCCAATTTTATTCTAAGTAAAGGTTTCCAGTTTTCAGTGAGACAGCAGAAAACAAGATTTCTCAGCAACTGACTGGTCAAATTAGCATTTAAAAACAATTGTAGTAATTCTGATTAAGATTAAAATGTTCAAAAGGGTCAGGTCACAATGTTCAAAAGATATTGCTTCGTGACACCTCTTGAGTATTTTCTGTGCTCCTTTGAAAATTGGAGGGGGGTACTTCTCTTTGAATTTCAAAAGAAGGATTATGTTACAAATGTTCATATAAAACTCATGATAGATCAAAGCTCAGGAAATACTACATTCTTATGCCACATATGCTTTTCGTTTCTTTACAAAACTGTTGAACCATTGTTTTCAGCAGACTCCTGTTTACTCTGGATAATTTATAATATAAAACACGTTAGTAGATCCAGATTTAGCACTATGTGGAACAAACACACTGAAATCAAGGGATTCCAGTTTTTGGTGAGTAAAAATCCTATCGGGTTCACTGATATGACTAAGTCTGCACTCATCCCATTGGCTCCATCACCATTATGAAATATTGCCCAACTGGTACCCAGAATCTTTGCTGTTGTTTCTCTGTATCAGGAAACTGAGAGGAAAGGTAAATATATCAAAATAATTCTGGAAAGTGAAATGATTTCTCTGGCTACTCCAGTGTCAATCATCCAGATGCTGTAGATAAGGAATAGGCAGATGATTTGAGAAGCTATCCTGGGTAGCACAAAAAATGAGCCTCTTGCCAGTGACATCACTGACCTATAGTCACAAGCCACCTTCATTTTACCTCAGGAGGGCCTCTGAGGTGATGCCACCTTCATTTTACCTCAGGAATGTCTGCCACCTCTGAAGTGCCTCTGAGGCCCAGGTGTGTTGCAGGGGCATTCATGGGAAAAGAACATGGCAGCAGGCAAGGCCTTTTGGGAATTTTCTCTCCAGCACCTTCATCACTGTTGGAGAAAATGCTCTTTCACTAATTCCACCTAAGGAATATTTCTGCAATTATAATTCAACGGTTCCACAAACCAATCTTTTTTCACTGCCACCAATTCTCTCTGAATATTTTAAAATCTCCTAATAACTTAGTATAAGAGGCTTAGGTGTGAAATGAGCGCCAACATTAGAGAAAAAATGAATTATTAAACAAGTTAATTTTGAAAGGATTAGTGTTTTCAAAATAATGATTTTTGACACTGTTTAAGGCCTTAAGAGCTACTGCTGGTAATGCAACCCTTTTAATGGCTAATTTTAGCTCAGACCAAATTTCTTAAAGCTGTACCCCAGCCAAATGCACTCAGAACTAAGTCCAGCTCTTGGATGCAATCTTCCTCTTACTCCCAAAACACCTACCATTGTGTTACTTGCTGCTTTGACAGTTTCTCTGTGTTTGACAGTGAAGTTTTAATGCCTTCAGGCCAAGATCTTAGGGTCACCTCCTAGCATCACACAACCGTCTGCTCTTTTCCCCAGCTATGTACAGCTATCCCACATAGAAGCAGCACCTCAATATTCAGGCATTAGCTTTTCATTTTCTCTTCACCGTCTATTACATTGCCAACGGCAAGTGAATATTCTCCCTGGCTCCGCAAGGACAAAATCCCTCAGTGTGAACTCCTTAATGGTCAAATGTCATTTCCCAACTGCTCTTTTTTTACCTAGCTAGAATCCATAGGCGAATAGAATTGAATTTACTAGATGGAGGGCAAGCCCCATCTATCAATAGCCAAAGTAATGACATATATTGTATTGTGGAAGTTGGAAAAATGCATGAAAAAGTGCATGCAACATGAATATCTAACTTAGGGCATACACAGTACTTCACATTTGGAAAATTCCCCAAAATTCTAGATTTATTTACACATATTAAGTCATAAAATGTACACAAATAATTACATTTACACATATGCTTTTTCAGGGAGTGTGAATTTGTGCAAATGCATACCAGTGTATTTATGCAAACTCTGATTCCATTAATGATGGAATGAAAGGCCCGACAATGTGAAGTGTAGAAGGAACCAGAGTTTACAACATTTGCAAAGTTGTTCTGCCAATGTTGATAGATTCCCCACTTTTTCTGTTTAGACATTATAGAGCAATGTTTGGCATGACCATATGGGAAGAACCACAATACAGCTATCCTTTGGATTCCAGGTACCAGAAGCATTTTTGAAACTGTAACTATTTCAGTCAGTTACAGCCATGTTTCTAAAGATTAAGAAAACTCTTTATATCTTCCAGAATATAGGAAGAAATAGCAATGAAATTCCTGATCCATCCTATGTATGTGTTGCAGTTCAGTACAGGAAGAGAGAGAGAGAGAGAGCAAATTTCATTGTCAAATAGTATTCCCATCAGTATAGCAGACAACTTAATCCATTCAATGCCCTAATATAATTGTCCAAGTCTGCTTTCTCTCTTTTTTATCCAGAAGTGCCCTCTTGGGTTCTATTTAAGGGATAGTAGCACATATGTTCAGCAATTCTCAAGGAAAACTCTGAGACTCTGAGTGATCAATTATTATGGCATATTCATTATATCAAAAAATCAAACCGATTTATCCTTTCTCGTTGCATTACCTTTATTTGCACCATTATATCTTCCATGAGGGATTCTCACAATTGTAAGTAAATATCCATCTTTTGACTCAACCTGATATTCTTCACTTGGGTAATTATGATATTGGATAATCCCACTCTGTAGGCAGAAAATATAGGTTTATCTGGAGATATTTTCCACATCCACACATGGAACATTTAGTTGGAGGAAGTTAGGAATGATCGCTAAAAGTGGTCCAAGAACATGTCACCATGGGGCATTCCAATGGCCTCTAACTTTTCAATATATAGTGACTGTTAAAACATGGTGCAATTTATTTATTTATTTAGAAAATTTCTATGCCGCCCCATTCGCCGAAGCCTCGGGGCAGCTCACAAAACATCAATTAAAATATAATACACTAAAAATGTAAAACGAATTAACAATATAAAATAAAATTTAAGCACTATTTAGACAGGGGTTAAAGTAAATGTGAGAGGAGAAGGCACATTTTAGCTCCACCGCTCCTTGTACTTTTTTGTTGCTTTCTACTGGTGGAGGGCAATTTTTGAGGGGCAGAACCGTATTTGTGCAGGATCTCCACCTGATTGAGAATGGTGTTCTGAGTAACATGGATAGCCTTCACAGATACAGGGTGGTGTTCTCTTCAAAAAGTCGCCCTCAAAGAGAACAGGGAAACTAACATATCCACTTAACTTTAACTCCTCTCCAAATGCCTGAATAGGGTTAAAATCAGATCAAATTGTGTTGATAGGATACATTTCACACATGGTCCAGCAGAAAGCTGGAGCTTTTGCAAAGTTGAATTGACGCATATGTGTAGCTTGCATGTACCGGATGGAACTAAAATAAAGAGCAGGAGTCATTTTTTTCCCCATTGAGTGAGATGAAAACCCTAAATGGCATATTTTGTATGGAATATAGAATTGCTCTAGCTTAACATCTAATTAAAGTAATAGCCTTTTAAAAAGTTCTCACTAAGTAAAAAGAACAATTTAGACAGGAATATGGGCAGGAAAAAATGAACTCAGAAACTTACAAGATGTAATTATGACAATTGAGGCCACAAATGACCCCCTCTGCCAACACACACATTCATTCTTGCCTTAGGAGCTCTAATGGGAGAAAGATGATTGGTGTCGTTATTAATTAAACTATTGATCCACTGCATACACTCCCTTTGTCCTGGCAAGCAGAAGCAGGCAACAAAGCAGAAGTTCATGGAATGGGCTCTGGCTTCCTGGCTGCATTGTGGTTGGGAGGCGGGGGGGGGGGGGGGCGGTCACAGGTAAGGAGGGCTCACCCTTTGTTTGCACTTCTGCATCTGTGCCAGTGCTCCTGTTCTCAATCTGTGCCAATCTGGCACTTAACACACAGCTTTATTTTACATCTAGCAGGATGGTATGCTAGCCCAGGCAGTCTGCAGGCAGTGGACTTGCCCTTTCCCTTTGTGTGGTGGGTTCCTACTGTCCAAGTCTGTTTACATAGAACACCTTGGCAGAACTCTTCCTGCACACTTAAAGCAATGGATGGGTAAGCATATATGAAACTAGCTGTTGTTGTTTTGAGACAGTTACTCAAGGCTTTTCCATTTTTCACTTTTTCCCTATTTGTGGGGAGAGGCAATCAAAGGTACATAGCACTGGATTCAGATTTAATGGTAATTAAGGAAGATCTCTTGAAATCATGAACTTAAATCCCGTACAGCGCTTGTTTTTCAAACAATTTATTAAAAAAGGGAACTGACAAAATCAATGAAGAATTAGATTATTCATTCACAATATGAAAGACAAAGCATATGGCAGGACAGCACAATTTCTAAGGATTATACTAGAAACCCAGAGAGGAGTAAAAGCTACTGTGGGCAGTTACTGCATTACTGGCTCATTCTGTGTAATATTTTGCATGGAAAAAGCAGAACTAGATGTTCCAATGTGTACATGCAGATCTCCCTAAAGCTCTTAGTTTTTGGCTGAACATTTTGCAGAAGCTGTGTCTGTCTGTCTGTCTGTCTGTCTGTCTGTCTGTCTGTCTATCTATCTATCTATCAAATTTCTCTATCACCCAATGCCTGAAGCACTTTAAACTAAAACTGAAAAACAATTTAAAACCTTAAAATATAGTATAGGCATTTAAATGAAGTAAATACCAGAGTAAGAACTAGAAGGATCACAGGATCCAAACCGATCAGAAACTAAAATCCGTGGGAAAATAAGATCTGGAAAGGGTAGAAGCCAGGCCATTCCATGGCCATAACAGAGAAGGCCCTTTTCTCAGTGGCAGCCAAGAAGGACTCCCTTTGGTAGGGACTTCTGCAGATGGACTGCTGAGAATGGTTTTTGGGCCCAGGCAGGTCAGGGAGGAGACAATCTTCCAGGTAACCTGGGCCCAAGCTGTTTAGGGCTTTGAATGTTAATACCAGCATTTTGGATTAGGCCTGGTCATAGACTGGCAGCCTGTGATGGTAAAGCACCCGCCTAAGATGTTCATGCTGGCCACTCCATTAATGCCATGTATTATCAGTTGCGTGCAAACTACACACATTACAGTCACGAATGCCAAGTTTATGCACCTTGAGTGCCTTTATAATAAACGCTTTCTGCCCACACTCTCCTGTTCCTTCAAAAGTCTGTTGTTGCCTCATATGCTTCCAGGAGCTTCCACAATGCCATGTACCTTCCTTAAGCCTGCTTCAAAACAGATGCTCTCCCAAATAGTATTTGCTTGATCCTGACTAATTCCTATGTCCTATGTAGACAGCTGAAGAATTCTAAGTGAAATTGGGGTTTGTGCAATAGCTTTTGGGCTTTTTCACCGGGGAGGAGTGCTTTGGATGCAGTAGAGATCTGTTGGGGAGCCTGGCTCTCCCTTTGTTGTTGTTGTTGTTAGTCGCGAAGTCGTGTCCGACCCATTGCGACCCCATGGACAACATTCCTGCAGGCCTTCCTGTCCTCCACCATCGCCCAGAGTCCACTCAAGCTCACACCATCTGCTTCATTGACTCCATCTAGCCACCTCATCCTCTGCTGTCCCCTTCTTCTTTTGCCATCTATCGTTCCCAGCATTAGGCTCTTCTCCAGGGGCTCCTTCCTTCTCATTAGGTGGCCAAAGTATTTGAGTTTCATCTTCAGGATCTGGCCTTCGAAAGAGCAGTCAGGGTTGATCTCCTCTAGGACTGACCGGTTTGATTGCCTTGTGGTCCAAGGGACTCGCAGGAGTCTCCTCCAGCACCACAATTCAAAAGGCACAATCCTTTTGTGCTCAGCCTTCCTTATGGTCCAGCTTTCACAGCCATACATTGCAACTGGGAAGACCATAGCCTTGACTATACACACTTTTGTTGGCAAGATGATGTCTCTGCTTTTTAGTATGCTGTCTAGATTTGCCATAGCTCTCCTCCCCAGGAGCAAGCATCTTTTAATTTCTTGGCTGCAGTCCCCATCTGCGGTGATCTTGGATCCCAGGAAAATAAATCTGTCACTACCTCCATTTCTTCCCCATCTATTTGCCAGGAAGTGATAGGACCAGATGCCATGACCTTGGTTTTCTTAATGTTGCATTTCAAGCCAACCTTTGCACTCTCTTCCTTCACCCGCATCACGAGGCTCCTTCGTTCCTCTTCACTTTCTGCCATGAGAGTGGTATCGTCTGCATATCTGAGGTTGTTGATATTTCTCCCAGCAATCTTAATTCCAACTGGATTCATCTAGCCCCGCCTTTCTCATGATGTGCTCTGCATATAAGTTAAATAGGCAGGGCGACCGTATACAGCCTTGCCAAACTCCTTTCTCAATTTTGAACCAATCAGTGGTTCCATGTCCAGTTCTCACTGTTGCTTCTTGACCCGCATATAGGTTTCTCAAGAGACAAATAAGATGGTCTGGTTTTCCCATCTCTTTAAGAACTTGCCACAATTGGTCGTGATCCACACAATCAAAGGCTTTAGCATAGTCAATGAAGCAGAAGTAGATGTTTTTCTGGAACTCCCTAACTTTCTCCATGATCCAGTGTATGTTGGCAATTTGATCTCTAGTTCCTCTCCCTCTTCAAAATCCTGCCTGTACTTCTGGTAGTTCTCGGTTCACATACTGCTGGAGTCTAGCTTGTAGGATTTTGAGCATGACTTTGCTAGCATGGGAAATGAGTGCAATGGTGCGGTAGTTTGAACATTCTTTGGCCTTGCCCTTCTTTGGGATGGGAATGTAAACTGACCTTTTCCAATCCTGTGGCCACTGTTGAGTTTTCCCAATTTGCTGGCATATTGAGTGTAGCACTTGTACTGCATTGTCTTTTAGGATTTTGAATAGCTCAGCTGGAATACTGTCACCTCCACTAGCTTTGTTGTTGCTCAGACTTCCTAAGGCCCACTTGACTTCACATTCCAGGATATCTGGCTCGAGGTCAGTGACCACCCCATCATGGTTATCAGGGACGTTAAGCTCTTTCTTGTATAGTTCCTCTGTGTAATCTTGCCATCTCTTCTTAATCTCTTCTGCCTCTGTTAGGTCCCTGCCATTTTGGTCCTTTTTCATGCCCATCTTTGCATGAAACGTTCCCTTCATATCTCCAATTTTCTTGAAGAGATCTGGTCCTCCCTATTCTATTGTTTTCTTCTATTTCTTTACACTGTTCATTTAAGAAGGCATTCTTATCTAGCTATTCTCTGGAATTCTGCATTCAGTTGGGTGTATCTTTCCTTTTCTCCCTTGCCTTTCCTTTCTTTTCTTTCCTCAGCTATTTGTAAAGCTTCCTCAGACAGCCATTTTGCTTTCTTGCATTTCTTTTTCTTTGGGATGGTTTTAGTTGCTGCCTCTTGTACAATGTTGCAAACCTCCGTCCATAGTTCTTCGGGCACTCTATCTATCAGATCTAATTCCTTAAATCTATTTGTCACCTCTACTGTATATTCATCAGGGATATGATTTAGGTCATACCTGAGTAGCCTAGTGCATATCCCTACTTTCTTCAATTTAAGCCTAAATTTTGCAACGAGAAGCTCATGATCTGAGCCACAGTCAGCTCCTGGTCTCGTTTTTACTGACTGTATAGAGCTTCTCCATCTTTGGCTGCAGAGCACACAGTCAATCTGATTTCTGTGTTGACCGTTTGGTGATGTCCATGTGTAGCGTCCTCTCTCGGGTTGTTGGAAAAGAGTTTTTGCTATGACCATCGAACTCTCTTGACAAAATTCTACCAGCCTGTGCCCTGCTTCATTTTGTACTCCAAGGCCAAACTTGCCTGTTATTCCGGTTATCTTTTGGCTTCCTACTTTAGCATTCCAATTCCCCATGATGATAAGGACATCATTTTTTGGAGTTAATTCTAGAAGGTGTTGTAGGCCTTCATAGAACTGGTCAACTTCAGCCTCTTCAGCACTAGTGGTTGGGGCATAGACTAGGACTATTGTGATGTTGAATGGTTTGCCTTGGATTCGAACTGAGATCATTCTGTCGTTTTGGAGATTGTATCCCAGTACTGCTTTTCCTACTCTTTTATTGAATATGAAGGCTACTCCATTTCTTCTGAGGGATTCTTGCCCGCAGTGGTATACCTGATGGTCATCTGAATTAAATTCACCCTTTCCTGTCCATTTTAGTTCACTGATTCCTAAGATGTCGATGTTCAGTCTTGTCATCTCTTGTTTGACTACATCCAACTTGCCTTGATTCATGGATCTTACATTCCAGGTTCCTATGGAGCATAGATCTTTGCAGCATCGGACTTTCCTTTCACCACCAGATACATCGGCAACTGAGTGTCCTTTCGGCTTTGACCCAGTTGCTTCATTCTTTCTGGCACTACTAGTACTAGCCCTCTGCTCTTCCCCAGTAGCATATTGGACACCTTCCGACCTGAGGGGCTCATCTTCCGGCGTCATATCTTTTTGCCTTTTGGTACTGTCCATGGGGTTTTCATGGCAAAGATACTGGAGTGGGTTGCCGTTTCCTTCTCCAGTGGATCACGTTTTGTCCGAGCTCTCTGCTATGACCTGTCCGTCTTGGGTGGCCCTGCACAGCATAGCTCATAGCTTCATTGAGCTACGGAAGCCCCTTCGCCACTACAAGGCAATGATCCATGAAGTAGGGCCCTCCCTTTCTTGATCTCTTAATTGCTTCCTGTTGCCCTTGTTGTGCTGCCTGATCTACTAAAAAGTCAGCCAAGCTGGGAAGCTTCAGGGAAGCAGCCTGCAAGAGTCCAATGCCTAACTTACCGGAGTCAAAAAGCATTCAGGATTCAGTGTACTCTTACTCACAGATTCTTCTGAAGTTCTAAATTCTTCTGAATTGTAAATCTCTTGGCAGAAACAGATCACTATAATAAAACTCCACATCTTCATCCTGCATGGAAAACACATAGTTCGTTATTAATAAGCATAGTCTGTTTTGGGCAGGTTTAAAGCAACAATGGCATGCCAAGCTTTCAGGTTACATGCAAAGCCAACGCGGAGGTTTCACCTAGGGGTGGATTGTCAAGTTGCCGATGTTCTCAAGCTTCATTTGCTTTGCTTATGCTTCCATTTCTCTCTCTCTCATCTGTTTTATTTATTTATTTATCTAAAACTTTTATTTATTTTAAAATTTTATTTTCAGTTTGAATGGGAAAAGTGACATTTTGAATGAGGAAAATGGGCATTTCTGTGTGTACATTTCAAAAGAGTACACACATCATTGACTAAAGCATAAACATCTGCGTATTTTTGAATGGAGTAACAATTTGTATGAATTTGCATTTATTGAGAAAATCTCAGTCTGGATTATGAACATATTTTAGATGATTTGAAAACAAATACAATTATCTCAGCTGTTGGGTGGTATAATATATAAATAGACTTGTCAATGCATTTGTAATTCTTCAAATGTAATCAAATGGTGAAAGATTGTATGGTAGCTCATGATCCTGAAACCTTGAGACCTTTCATGATTGCATTCTTGCATCAAATTAATTGCCATGGTTAAACTCCTGGCCCTGGATCAGAACTGAGCAATTTTGAGGGATCCTGAAATTTAAGATTCTGTGAAGTTATAATAGTGTTTGGTTTCTTTTTTATTGTTGTATCAACTGTGAATTTTAAATTGCTTTTTATTGTACACTTTCAATCTTGTAACCTGCTCAGGGAGACTTGTGGCTAATGATGTGGGATAAAGATCCAATCAATCAATCAATCAATCAATAGGGATGATAGTTACAGTTTTAATTCGGTTCTGAAAAATTGCAACCACATTATAACTGTGTGTGAGAGTCATTCTTTTCAGGTAGTCATGATGTGCTGTGAGATAAAAAGCAGGAACAATTGTGTGTGAATGTTACATTTTGCTCTCTTACATTGTTTGTCTTCCAATTACATTGGATATTAGTTACTTTAAGAATTCAGTCACCTTTCAGTTTTCCAAAAGTTCACTCTGTTGTTGGAGTATGAAGAACCCATTTCAACTGACAACTGGTATTGTTCCCTTGCCCAAGAGAGAAGCAACCACTACAGACTCAACTGACCTTGCATTACAATTACAGATTACAATACTCCATGTCAAACTTTTAACCTGTGTTTTCTGCGTAAGACATTCTTGTGTGCTTGCCATTCTCTGTTCACCATTGCTTATGGGTTCTTTAGACAACACTGTGACCTTCCAGTTTTGCTTCTGTGTCTAACCACACTTTCAGTGAGCTGTTTTACATCAGGGAACAGATTACATGTACTTTTAAGAAAGCACAATTTCCTCTTGTGTATTCACCCTGTTCTGCTAGAGCATGGTGCCATTTAGAGATTCTGTAGGAGTGAAGCAAATGCTCTTGAAGTGCTGAGATCGCAACTTTGCAATGACAGAGTAGGTGCCAAGCAACAGCCAATTAAGTGTATATATCCTTGAATATATTAGGCAGCATCCAATGCTGTCCACATACTAGTGGGAACTGCCAGTGCTGCAAAGGGGAGCTAGTGGTTCTAAAAGCTACCTGAAAGGAGGGGAAATGGCGGCTTCCAAAATGCGGCAGTTGAGTGGCGCTTGCAGTAAGCAGCTCCACTGATCTGGAAATGAGCTTTTCCACTTTGCTTTTATAGTTCTTTTATGAAGTACTAACTCATCATTGTGCTAATGGCAAGTCCTGCTGGCATAAGAGAATGAGTGGGAATGCATTAGATTCTACTAGTATTTGGAGGAGAGCCCCACTAAACTCATTTGGGAGCTAGCTTATTTGTGTCTAAGCCTCCTCAGAATCAGGATGCACAACACCTTGTATCCTTGCAGGTGTAGTCACCATGTTGGCTTTTCCTTTCACTTATCTTGAAGTTAATGACATGGTTAAGATTGCTTTGCTTTATCTGTTTGAATGATTTCATTGTGCCAGCTTTCTGATGCAATTGATATTACTCAATGTAACCTGAGCCTATGCTTCCAAGGGCATATATGGTATTTAGGTGTACAGTACATGCATTCACTCCAAAAAACAAACATTAGTGCAGTGCAACACTTTATTCATCCCAAAACTCAAATTAAAATTCTCCAAGATTCTCCAGGATAGCATGGCATACACTGTAAACATATTAAGAAAAGCTGAGCATCAGGAACATGCTATGGAGGACATGCCATGGGCTGCTCAGGACTTCTTCCGGGCCCTACAGTGCTCAGCAAAGTGAACTTCTAGACTTAGTGTGGAGGGCTGCTGCTGCTGCATGGAAGTTACTCTGGTCAATGATGCACTTCGGTAATTTCAGATCCCGGACACAACAGGTGTTTGGGCTCTGACAGCCATGTGTACTACTTCAGTTTTGGACCAACGACATAATATGTCTTTCCTCCCCTGACCAAGCTCATGCCTTCTTTTCTGTCTGCATCTACATTCTTGATATGCTAATGCAAGCACACACACACAGTTAAAATCCTGTTCATTTATGATGATGTAAAAAGAACTATTCTGATAGGTTAACCTAACTCAAATCATAGAACCATAATGACTCCAGGAATAAAAGTCTTTCTCCTGTCTTGGTGTGAAACACATTTCCTTGACAATAAGCACCGTTTTGTGGTAGAACAGGATAGCATATTTTAAAGATATAATTCAGAAAAAGAGCATCAGCAACATCCTTATTCTTTGGGAGATCATTTATGTCTCCATAGGCTACAGGGTCTTGGACTTTGGTTCAAAGGTTCCTGTTAGCTGCACTGCCAATTGTGGATGGTTTATGTATTCTGGAACCAGTCCCAGAAGCAGAATATGTCAGTATTAGGGAAATACAGTGGTGAGACTTACTAAGATAGGTGATCAAACACCTCCAACAGTGTACATAGTTTCTTCTTGATCCTAATTAGTGTCACATGAGTGTCATGCAAGGAGTGCCCCATTTTTTTTCACAAATGATCATAGTTTGTTTGTTTTTAATATGACTTTTTGGGTCTTTAAATTCCTGCAGTCAGGGTTGTATTTTCATCACTGATCCTTTTTAAGTCCACCTATTCACTATGTATTGAAATAGCAAATGCCCTTGTAAGTACCACCTTGATTATCTGGTTTAACCTACCAGACTTGTATTCCATGCTTTTCAAAGAAGCCATCCATGTCATTCTCAACTTCACTACACTTCACCAGTCCCTTGGATGGAGAATAGCTAAAGTAGAGGATGAAATCGACAAGGCCTTTAAGAAGCATGGAATAAGTATGGAAGCACAGAAGAATGGAAACATGCTATGCTAAACCAAGAAGTGTATGGTCAGGATTAAACTGACACAGCTATTTTCAATATGAATATATAGGAAAGAGGCAGACTCACAAGTGACCACAGACGTAAAAACCTCCTTTTGCACAAATGAAAGACCCCCAACATTTTTAAACCTCACATTTGCTAATATTTGCTCTAATGTCTGCTATCATTAAAGAAGAAATAAAAATTCTGTATATAAGATTGTCTTACTACAGATTAATTCAATGTATGGAGGCGGGGAGTGAAATTTGTCAAGAGTGAACTGGTAAAACCTAATGAAATTTCACCCTCAAAACAGAATATGTATGTACTCCTGATATCTGCATTTGCATCTGTTCCCATAACCATATAATAAATTTGGCACAACATTTGCCTTGGTTGTGAAACCAAGATCAGCATCTCAGTGTATCTACATTACATAATGAACCACATTTCATTATCAAATAATACATGCTAGACATGGAAATATTAAGATAATGTGAGCATATACCCTATTTTTTACACCTAATTCCCTATGCCTTCATACTATCCTCTTGCCAAGTTTTCCTAACTATAGAAAAATACTTCCATTTTTTCCCATGAAAGTCTTTACCATGGTTCTCCAGCAGGAAACCAAACAGCATCTGGGAAGTTCCACCGTGCAGAGAATCTTTTCCATGTCGTGTTTTGCTATTTTACTATCAGGCTAAACTCATTCATCATTTATTCAGCTTAATCATTCTGATTTGGTAAGCTTCTTTGATAGCTTGAAGCTGAACTTCAAAGGAAAGTTCTATTGACTTCAATGAGAATTAGTGTCATACTACATATTAATGTACTGGGGAAGGATTATACTTTCCTGATTCACTGTCCATTTTCTCCCCTGAATTCTTTCTCAAAAAGGAAAAAGAAATAAAGCCCTTCTACCCAGATAGGGTGGGGAATATTGCAATTTTAAAAAGAGAATATGTGATGGAGGAAGATTTAATCTGGATTGGGACCATATGTACATTTCTGTACACTAAAGTACAGAAATGGATCAGGCTTAGTTCCATGCAGCACAATTAATCTAGCATGCAGTTTGACCCTTCTTTCTCTGAAAGAGGATGCAATACGAGATTACAGCTTGAGTAACTCTCCAAGTCTAAACAAGGACTACTCAGGTTTTGTTCTGAAAATTGCCAGATCATCTGTATGCTATCCAACCCACTTCAGGCTTGCATGGAACTGGTTCTGTAGGGTTTGCTGTGATTCTCAGCTAGCTGTGAAAAATGTTAATCACTTCTCATGGAATGGACGTGAATTGGGATGGAAAGACGTGTGCACAAAATACCTTGTAACGGGAGCCATGCCCAGTACTCAGAAACAATTGCAACTGCTTTTTTGTTTGTTTTTTAGTAAATTGAAGGATGTTCAAAGGATGGCTCTTTTAAAATGCCAAAAGAAAAGGCTAACTGAATTACTGCTCTCCTGCTGCTTCTGACCTTTATTTATAAAGAAGGAAGCAAATCTGTCTATAATCCTATTTAGGGCAATTGGCACAGTTTATAAATCCCATACATACATACATACATACCAAGTACTTACCCAGGGCAAGATCCTCACTCTGCCAGACCAGTTTTCAGCTTTCCTCTTCTCAGGATAGAGTTCCCACAGGAAATAGTTATTCATGTGCTAATGTTACCCCAAAGTCTTAGTTGAATTTTAACTTCTCTTGAAGGACGTAGAAACTGATTTGAAGAATCTTCTCAGATGTCTTGATGAAGCAGGTGTTTATTGGAAGCTCTGAAGGAAGAGTAAGCACCCTCTTATTAGACAACTGAATAAGATCACAAATCACATGGCCAGGATCCAAAGAATTACACAGTACCTCCTTATAGATGAGGGAGATGTGTGTATATTTCTTGAACAGGGCACCTCCCCTCTCCCCACTGTTCCCTGTTCCACATGGTAAGTCTGTTTTTAAAAGGTGGGACCCTGAAAAGTATAAAATATTGGGTCTGATGTTCAAATAACATGAGTCCCATCGAAGAACCACTTGCACACATGTATGTATGTAAAGTTTTTATATGCTGTCCAATACTAACGTCCTTGGATGGCTTACAAAAACAAAAAACACATATTTGTATTTATCTGAGCCTTAAGGTCCTGCAACCAGTGAAAGCTAAGAGCTTGGTGAGGAGCAGGGTTAGCCCTTTTTCCTTTGGAATTTCCTCCCTGCAAAATCAATCTGTCCCCATCCCCTCTGCCAGCCTTTTCAAAAGTCCCTAAAAGCATTTCATTCTGGCCTGTATTTGATCAGTTTTACAGTTCTGTGCTTAACAGACACTTTTTTTTGCTGCTGTTATTTGAATGCTTTGATATTTCATTGCCTCAATTGTTTTTAATAACTTGCCATTTTGTTGGATTTTCAATAACTATAGGGATATTTTTCCCTGAAATCAACAGATCTGGGGCTGTTCTAGAAGGGGGCTTTGTTAGCAATGTGGGTTTCTTTGTTAGTAAGTCAGTTTGAATGTGGCTTTATTAGCCAAACTCATAAAAATTGAACATTTCTCTAAGACTACTTATGCAGAAGGGAGGGAGGCCATACAGTTGCGTGACTGACAGGTCCACCTCCTAATCCAAGAGAACATTTTACCATGGGCTCCAATCCCTGTGCTTGGAGAAGGGACTGAGTTTGTTTATTTATTAATTACTTTTATATCTCACTCTCACAGTGTCTCAAAACAGTAACATTGAATGTTTCATTAAAATCCTTAGTCTTTTCCATTTCTGCTACTGTACAGCATCTTAGAAGGGAAGGTCATGAATTGATAGGTTCTTTCTTACTAGGTGGGTAAACTTGGGGTAGCTTGGCTATGCCTTGCATGGAAACAGTACATGGGCCAGATTTTAGAGAGACTTTCTGCAAGACTGTCACCTATCTGGTATACCTGGAAGTGTAAACGACATCCAGGTATTTCTGTGGCTCCACCAAAATCCAGGAGGGCTTTGTTCCTGGAACATATTTTCCAGGTTGATCAGCCAGGTGTGTGGTTGCTAGAGACTCAGCAAGTTCAAAAAGGAGTTTCATTTCTGGCTATGACCTTGGGGTTCTCCCTGCCTTTTGTTTGCTGTATCTTCAACTCCTCAACATAAAGTTGTATAAAAAGTAGTGAGGTTTCCATCATGTGACTCGGACTGCCATACAGCTATAGAGTCTGAGAGATTGCTGCACTGGGACAGAAGGTGGGCTGGCTTGCTGGCCAGTAGCGGTGAGATGAGATGCACAAGGGCGTGGATAGGACTGTGAAATGGTGGCTACTGTGGAAGGAAAAGTTTGAATGTAAGGAAACTCCAGTCCAATTAAGAAAAGCTGCAATCCAAACAGGCTTTTGTTAGAGCTTCAGCTCCGTTGGTGACACAAGAGTTCCAAGCTGCTTAGCACAGAGTTACTCACCTTCCTGTTACAATGCATTACTGCAGATCAGTCTTGTTTCTTCTGGAGTGTAAACCAGGTAAGGGCACAAGGATCTCAGTACCACAGACAGTTATCATGCTGCCAGGGCAACATTCCTCTTGTGGCAGGGCATTTCCTAACGCTAACTGCAAGTGCAAGTGATTCAATGTCTTCAGCAATGTGGCCTTTTCGAGTTCTTTAACTCTCTCAAGTTATGTTTGGCTTCCTGATACTGCATGTAAACCACATAAGCTTTGGGTGGCACTGAAGGGGATTGCCTTCCCCATTTCTCCCCCTTTGAAGCTTCAGCTTCATTCTCAGAGAAGCGGCTCTTCGAACCTCCGGCCTTGCCCTCTCAGAGCCATGCAGCATTTCTACACGCTCGCTGCCATGTTGGTCTCCTCCGACAGAAGCATAGTCAGCATCAGCTTCCCTCGGTCACATGGCCACAGCCTGTTTTACAAGCAGCCGCACAGCACCGATCTTTTGCTTTAGTAGCCACACGTTCAAGCCTCATAGCAACTTTGGTCATATGAAACTTTTTGAGCAACGAGGAAACCCCTTCGCCACTGCAGGGGGAAGCTGGCAGGGTCTCAGCGATGTCTGAAAAGTCGGTCAGTGCTTCTTGCAATTCATATATTCCCAGTGGCTAGAAGAATGGGGTTGGTTGCTCTTTTACTCTGTGTTCAGGTGGCCAGGTTTTGGTGCTCCATGGTGAGGAGGGCAGCCTTCTTCCATCATGTAGCCTAGAGCCCACTGGTCTGGACTGGTAATATCTAGTTTCATATTCAGATGATTGGGGTTCTTTGTTGCACCAGGGGGCATTTCCTTCCCACCACACAACACGAAAGTGCGCGCTCTGTGTGTGTGTGTGAGTGGGGCGGCGATATGGGGATGAATAACTAGTATACATGTTTGCATTTCTGGGGCTTCTCTTTGAACTTTCAATTCATGGTGGGTGCTGGTGTTGCAGATTTCCATATGTTGTTGGATGGAGTCTTTGTATCAGCTGTGAAGCCTTGCATGCATTTAAAGAAAAGAATCAATGTATGGAGTGTGTGGGGTCTCACTGTCTGCATTTCAAAAATAATTTTGGTGCTGTGGGCCTTAATTAATTTATTTATAAAATTTGTATGCCGTCCATTACTTGCATTTCTGTAATTATGCTTAATTGTATTTATCAGGATTTCAGAACATGTTCCCATGTTCCAAAGTCTGCTTCTCTATGAGGTTCTGAGAATATCACATCTTATTTTTATCAACTCCATCAACATCATCATCACCATCCCTGTTCTCATCTTGAACATTCTCATTATGCTTTGAAGTTTTTATGTTTGCATTGTGATTATGCCTTTGTGTGAATGAGGGGCGTGTCTGCATGTGTGTGTGAAAGAGGCGGTCTGGGTATTTTGCAGAAGATTCCTGCTGGCTTCACAAGAAGTTATCATAATGACAATCATGTGCAAAAAAGACAATCTAGTCCTTCCTTCTTATGCAATAGGCATAATTTGAAATGTGCCGTGCTGCTTTTGAGTAGCTCTGCTCTGGTGGAAGTTTTGTGATGAATATAAACGGGGACGAGAGAAAGGACAAATCAGAAAAGATGCTTGTGCTCTGATAACTGAAAGCAATATTTTAAATCATGTTTTTTTGGCTGAGTACTGTATGTACTCATATGTAATTCCCTTTTATGAGGGCATCAAGTACAGCATGGCTAGATAGCTTCAGGCAATCTGAGGCTAATTCTATCCCCAACCCTACACCAATGGCCTGAACTGTTGCTGTGGCAGTACAAAATAAAATAAAATTTGTGGCTTACCACCAACATTTGACATCAAACTGCCCAACTACAGGCTTACTTAGGAAAAATTTAGCTTGAAAACATAGAAAATACCTATAGCAGTTTGCTTCCAAATATGAGTGGCAAATTGCCAATTAAGCTAAATAAAGTCAAACAACATCCTTTTTAAAGGTGATGAGGCAGTACAGGAAAAGTCACATGACCTGAGTATTGACTTAGAATTGGGTTAGCAACAGCTCTGTTTTTGTAGTAAAAAATCTAGATCTCCAGAAGTTGTTATATTTATTTGCAATTATTTGAAAGGGAATCCTTAAAAATTGTTACAGAGCAGAAATACAGTTGGGAAGCAAATACCACAAAGCAACATATAGCAGGGAATCTCTATCTGTCCCACATCTTACATGGAATCTTCAAATGAAGTAATTTACAATATAGCAACAATTTTTTTTCTCTCCCAAGGACTGTAGTCATACACAGACTTGTGTGAAAGTAAGTCCCATAGAGTTACTGGGTCAGATGCTTTCGTAATCACAGATAAGACTGGCTGCAAACTTGAAGAAGAGGAAAAGATCAACAAGCTTCTGCTAGTAGGGCAGGTCATTCAGCTGTGGTTGCGTGCCACCACGTTTCAATGTTGGATTATGGCTCTTGCTTCATGAGGTCAATGATTTCAGTATATACTTGACTAAATGCATTCATGCCCCAGATGAAATCCAGATGAGTCCATTCTGGGATGTGTTTATAGGAAACAAGGTTTTGGATCTGAGGGATCAATACAGCAACATCTTCTGGGTCTGAGAACAGGTCTGCTCCTCCAGACCACACCGCAGTTGGCACAGCCATCTCTTCTACTTTATATACAGGAGGAGTGATCTAGGAAAAAAGAAATGTGCCCCCCACCCCCCAAAAAACATAATAAATAGGTCAAGTCACTGTATGTTCTTATATTTTGAGAAAAAAAGCAAACAGATGTGTGTATACATATCTCCACCTGACACAAACTTCATTGTCTGAATTACAACGATCTCTTATCTTTTCTCATCTTATTATTCAAATGATTCTCTGTCTTTACTGAGGGCTAGATGCATGTTTGTGCTGGATCAACAGTGCTAATGAAGGTAGGCTTCCCTCCATCCTCCATCAGCTCCTCTGTCCTGAAAATACTACAGAGAGTCATGAGAATGGGGTGAGCCATGGTGTGTGGGGTGAGAGGAATCGAGAATGTTTACTGGAAAGTAGAGCCTCCTTCCAGAAGAGCCTTTCTTCTGGTAGAAGGTGGCTTCCTCTCATGGAAGCCAGTCCTGGATCTAACTCACAATATTTTCTAATTTGCAATATTTTATCATGGCATTTATTTTTCTTTGCATAATTCCCAGTTGTTTCCATGCAGTGCTATGTCTCCAAGACTGAAGCCAGCCTGCAGGCTGAAGGGTTTCCATGCCACTATTCCAAGCACCCCATTTGTCAGGATATCCTGACTCTTTGTGAAGCATTTCCTGGGGATGAGAGAAGTAAATTCATTCTCATTGATAGAGTTGATCCAATGTAAAATGGGGGAATCCAACCAAGGACTTATATTTGTGAGATTTTTTCCTCCAAAGTTCTGCTGAAGCACATGGGGGACATTTTGAAGCAGTGAGACTATTGTATGCACATAGATCCCCAGTGCAAATTAAAACCACAACATGCAGGATACCCTACTTTAAATTCACCCTCTCCCTACAAGCACCCTCCACCCCACAAATGATGTTACTGAGTGGCAGGAAAGGGATGGTCCTTGGGAGGCCAAGACCCTTCCACTCTTCCTGGCAGGACTTGTGTCTTTCCATCCTTGTCCTCCTCTGCACCTGTTCCAATCTGTGCAGCACCCAGTTCTCACTGCTGCAGTCCAAGAAAGACTTGGATTAGTGGCACTGCTAGAGTTGTTAAGCATGTGGAGAACTGGCCATCAGCACAAAGAAAGCCTTTTTAAGACCCAGTTAGCAGTTCTGTGCAGAAATTTTGCTGTCCACTTTCCTCCTTGCTTTTCTTTCGCAAAGGCCATGCTTTTTGAGAGGTGGATAACTATTCCCATACCTGATTGTGCTTCTCTTTATTCTTTGTGTCATCACCCCAGTCATAACCTTTCAATAGGCCACTATGGTAAACCTAAGAGCAAAGACAAGAAATATTAAAGATCTTGAGAAAGGGTTAGTAAATATAATGTGGACTCATACTTAGCAACTTACTGTTCTTTCCAGTCTTTAGAATTAAACATCAGTCAGAATTCAAGAAAGGCACGGCAAAATAACTAGAAGCAGTTTGCTCTTTAAATTGGGACAGGGATAGAATGAGAGAATGCACTGCTTTCTTTTATTGGCTGAAACTGAAATGCCTTTGTGATCAAATATGTCTGTGTTTATCTGAAACGGTATTGTGCTGCCTCATCCAGCACTCTGCTTGCTTGCGTCCTTCGCATCCCTCTTGCCTATTTATACATCAACAGTTTGATTGCACAGTGATCCCAGAGTTCCCTAGTGCTCTTTCACCTGAAGGACTCTGAGCCATGGAGTGCTGCTCTGGACACCTCATTGTTTTGGACAGTGAAAAGTGACCTGTTCAACACAGGAGATCTCAACGGGGAATTGCACATGGGAGAACCCACACCAATGCACTTGTGGTTTTACTTTCTGAGAATTGCCTTTCCAGGGATGATGCCTTAGTGGCACCAATGTGCAACCCTTTAATATTTGATAACATAGCAAAGGGCAAGGATACCTGAGCCCAGTGGAACATATTCTGGGTAGATGCTCCTGCTGGGAATCGAGCTGCATACACGTGTACTCGGCTCTGAAAGAAGGAAGGAAGAGACCCAGATTTGTTGCACCAGGATATGATGCTTGGCATAGAGAAAATAATTATGGGATGCAATTCTAGACATGCTTACCTGGAAGCAAAGCAAAGGACTGAAGTGTAAATCATGTGTGCATTTCAGGGCAAATTCATTTCCTCGACTAATGTGAGATCAGAATGCAATTATCCTTCGAGTTAGTGCTTCTCTTCCCATTTTGCCATGTAAATCTTTGCTCAAAAACTCAACCCAAATGCACCTTTAGTTTAAAGTATGCTTGACATGCATGCATTGTTCTAAAATATATTTATCATTTATTTATTTAAAACTTTTTAATGCCGTCCCTTATGCATGGCATCTCAAGATGGCTTACAATCCTTAAAATCAAAATACAATAAAACCACATATATAAATAAATAATATAGTAACAATAAACATTTAAATGGAAATCAAAATCAAAGGGACTGTTAAACGTTAAAATGTTAATTTTTAAAATGATAATTAAATAAAAAGGTTTTGACCTGGTACCAAAATATAATCAGAAAATGCCTTTTTTTTGCCTTTTACAAAAATTCAGGATGCATTGGATTCATCAAAATCTCTTGCTTTGTAACTATTGGGCACAATGCTATCTCCACAATGCATGTTTTTATACAGTGGCTAACTGTTGGAGCGGGGTGGGAAGTGGGAGAAACGGCAAATTTGGCTCATGAGGAGTATACTTCATGGATATGAAGTGGGGGTAGGAGGAGGAAAAGGTGAAGGGAGCTTTAGAAACAGACACATCCACACACCTTTTGGGAATATTTTGACTAAGTCCATATTCAGTCCATATTGACTAATAACCATACCCGGGTGTTCCACTGAAAATGTGAGGTCACAAACTGTTAGAGAGCCCGCACATTCTATGCCTCAACTGTTCCCTCGTGCCTCAGTCCTGCCTCCTTTGCGTCTGAGCTATGCGCAGCCACTGGGGATGCTTCATTAAAGCTTCACGGAAGATCCGCTTGCCTGGCTAAGTCCTCTGCCCTTCCTCTTTTGCTACGCCAATCGCACCAGGTCTGGAAGGCAGTTTTCTGAATGCTCATGGATGTTGTGGTGCAATGTGTGCTAAGAGTTGTCGTCTGGCGTGTGGTGCTTCATTGGATGGGACTGTTAGCGACTACGACAATTCATTATTACAGCCTGAGAAAGCGGAACAGCTGTCCCTTGAGGGCAGCAGAACACCAGGCGGCGCTGCTCCTTTTCAGAAGGCAACCCTGCATTCTAAGGAATGAGCAATGCGTTCTATGAAATAGGTTCCCAATTACAATAACAAAGAATAAAAGAATGGCAAGAGATGATTAATAAATGTTGTAATGGGGATAAAAATGGGGATAAATAAAATAAATGGTGTAGATCACAAAAGATTTAAATAAAAAATTTCAACCTAATGTAAAGTTACGCTATATAAGAAAATCAAGTGAGGCATGTACTGGATATTATTTGACAACCTAGTGAAGTAATATATTAAAATTAGAATTTTCTCAACTAGAAGGATCCTTGACATTTTTTTTCAAATATGATAACAAAAATATTATTTAAAAGGTAAGAAATATTTTTCTTAAAAGTACACTGCAAAACTGGAGCAAGTATGAGGAAAAGGTCATGCCATTCATTTTAACATCATATCCAGTTACTGAATTAGAAGGGTTTCCATGAAATTTGAGATGAACTTTGGGAAAAATGTTCAAGACTAAATAAATTATCAAGTTAAAAGACTGGTTAGAGAAAACAAATAAAAGCAGAAAGATAAGAGTAATACCAGGAAAGGAAAAAAATAGCTTGGTTTAATGTGATTCAGGTAGAATGTTGGACAAGTGGTTAGTTAAAGAAAAGAGGCAGATGTAGAGATTATATCACATTTGTAGATATGAGTGTGGGAAAGGAAAAGCAACACAGTATGCGGATGAAAGGGACAGTAAGTAAAATCTATAAGATATTGTCAGAAGATCAGGATCAATACGATCCACTTAAAGCAATATGGGAAGCAGACTTGAGAAAGAATATTAGTAATGAAGATCAAGATAATATCAGGATATTTTACTAGTCAGTAAGACTAAAGGATTTTTTAAATATAAATTAGTATGGAAATGGTACTTAATGCCGGTGTAGTTGAAGCATATAGATAGTAAATATTCGAATCTGTGTTGGAAATGTGGCTGTGGAGGGGGGTACATGGAGACAGCCTTGGTCACCCTGTATGATGACTTTTGCCAGGAGAAAGTGTGTGTGGGGAGTGGGGGACTGTTAGTTCTTCTGGTCCTCTCAGTGGTTTTCAGTACCGTTGCCCATGGTATCCTTCTGGATAGCCTGGACAGATTGGGAGTTGGAGGCACCGCCTTGTGGTAGTTCTGCTTCTGCATGGCCAGCCAGTTTCAGAATGTGGTGCTGGGGGAGCATGGCTCCACACTGTGGTTACTGTGTCATGGAGTGCCACAGGGTTGCATGCTTTCCCTGTTTAACATCTGTATGGAACGGCTGGAAGCGAACATCTGGAGGTTTGGGTTGACGTTTCATCAGTACACCAATGATACTCAACTCCTTTTCATCTGATCTAGGGGTGGCTGTCTCAGTGCTGAACCAGTGTCTGGGTGAGGTGATGGATTGGATGAGGGCTAATAAATTGAGGCTTAATCCAGGCAAGATGGAGGACCTGTTGGTAGGTGGGTCCTTCATCCAGTTGGATGACAACTGCCCTTTCCTGGATGGGGTTACACTCCGCATAAAGGACAGAACTTGGAGTTTGGGATGCTTCTCAACCCAGAGCTGACTCTGAAACACCAGGTGAGCTCCAAGGCCAGGAGCACCTTTTATTGGCTTCTGGTCTTTTTAACTTCATGCCTACCTGAACAGGCAGGACCTGGCAACAGTGATCCTACTAGTTGCTCTGTGTGGGCCTGCTCTTAAAAATGGTCTGGAAACTGTAATTGATCCAGAACAGAGTAGCTCACCTCTTCACAAGCACTCAAAGGCATGAGAATATTACCCCAGTGTTATACCACTTACACTGGCTGCCAATTGAAGTCCAGGTCCAGTTTAAGGCACTTACAGTGACATGGTTTAGGACCTGGTTATCTGATGGAACTTCTTCTCCCATACATGCTTGCCTGGACTTTAAGATCATCATCAGAGATCCTTCTCCAGGAGCCTTCTATGAAAGATATTAGAAAGATGGCTACTTGGAGAAAGACCTTTTCAGTAGCAGTAACCTGGCTGTGGAACCAGCTCTCCAGAGAGTTGCAGCTGGCGCAAACACTGTAAATTTTTGATGCCAGGCTAAAACTTTATATTCTCAAGATTTTAATTGCTGACATTTTATATCTTATTTTAGCTTATTTATTGTATAGGATACTATACTTGCCTTGTTTATATATGATTTCGTTGATTTTAATGTTTGTTATTAGACAGTATAGTACGTTTTATATTCTATTTTACTGTTATTGAGTGGTATTTTCTTATTGGCTTTACTTGGGGCCTGTTTAGTCTACTTGTGTTGTATGCCATATTTCAAACTAGTTTAATGTGATGTAAACCATCGTGTGAGTCATTGGACTAAAGAAACAGTAAAAAATAGTTTTAAATAAATGATAAAATGTTCCAAAACTGAACAATAAATAGTGCCAGAAGGTGAGACCCCCAGCTTGGAAGGTACTCAGTTACTGAGGAAGAGCAAAGGAAAAGCACAAATACTGTTGTTGCTGATGATCTAAACTAGATTAGATCAAAACTAAAAGGAAGTGTAGAGGTGAAAGGAAATTTCAGATGCTGCACAACCCATGCAAATTGAACATGAAACATGAGAAGGATGGATCAAGGCAAGGTGGAGAATGTAAATCAAGAAAGGGAGCAGTTAAGCATCATAGTGCTTGGTGTGAGTGAACTACAGTGGGCCCGATTGGGATATTTTCAGTCAGACAAACACATAGTCTTTTTTGGAAATGATGAAACTAAGAAGAAATGAAGTGGCTATAATATCAAGGCCAACTAAATCACACCAATGAGAATTTTCAGAAAACCTATTGACATAACCATGATTCAAGTCTATGCTCCAATAACACATTTGAAAGAAGAAGAAATGAAAAGTTTTTGCAGGCATTTAAGAGTAAATTGATAATGCACCAAAATAAGATAAGCTGATAATCACAGACAAATGGAACACAAAGTAGGAAATAAAGCAGAATCAAATGTTAGGGGACAATTTGACCTAGGGTTCACAAAATTCTAATAATCATTCTGCTGCTTCATTTGTGAAGTCAACAATCTTCAATAAAAAAATCAACAATAAAAAATAAAATAAATAAAAAACAATCTGTTTATTGCAAATAGATACTTCAGGTAACCAATCTGATGGATGTATACATGGACATCACGAGGCAGCCAATACAGAAATCAAATATGTAATTTGGATCAGAAGATGAAGAAGTTGTATTCTTGCTTGCCAAACAAGACCAGTTGCAAACTATAGGAGTGACTGTGAACTCTTAATAAAAAAAACCAGAGTAAAAGATCTATAACAGAAGCATAGTGCCAAAACAGAGCTTAAACACCATTCCTGAAGAATTTAAAGTACACATAAAGAATAAATTAGCATTACTGAACTCAATTGACCATGAGCTGGAAGAACTGTGGACTGAATCCAGAGACATTACTAGGGAAAAATGCCAAATAACAATTTTTATAGCATAAGGAAAGATAAAGACTGGATAGATGACAGAAGAAACACAATTGCTAAGCACAGGTGAGAAGTAAAAGCCAAAGGTGACATAAATAGTCACTGAATGTAACTTTTCAGTGACTATTGCTTAGACACATAAAGAACTATTACAATGACTGGTGTGGGGGAGAGAATAACAGGAGAGGTAAAACAAGAGAACTCTTCCAGAAGATCCAAGAAATCAAGGAAAATTTAAATCTAAATTCAGAAAGCAGAAAGACCAATAGTGGATAGGAGAAAAGAAAGCATGGGTGGAAATGATATTCAGAAGACATAAAACATGACAAACTCTGAGAAAGTGAAGTGAAAGCTGCTCTGAACACTTTTGGGAGGACTAAAGGATATGGAATAGAAAGGACACCTGTTTGGGTTGGAACAAACCTTGTTGGAATCTCTCCCTCCACACACTCATGAGCTTCATTTTGTGCTTGGCCTGGTCTTCGAAAGTGAGCCAAACGGAAAGGAAGTCCGTGAATGTGTGCAGACAGGAACCCCACTTCGGCAGCCTTCTTCTGCATCTCTCATGCAGTGGAAAGAAAGGCTGCGAGTCACGTGTGCAGAAGAAGGATGCCACTTTTTGCAGCAATCAAGGGAGGCTCAGTTCCCAGTGATTCTGGCTCAAATGCTCCGTGCACTCAAGAAATTGGACTCAGGGCCATGGGAAAGCAGGCTGGAGTCCAGTGAGCCAAGCCCAGGAAATTGGGTGGATTCCACCTCCAAAACAGATTCTTTGCACACCCCTGCCCTGGAACCAAAAATAAGTTAAAGAAGGGGGTGCTGTATCCAATCAAGGCAGAACTTTTCTTGGAAGCAAAAAATGACAATATCAAAGTAATCATAATTTGGGCACATAATGAGAAGGCCAGGCACACTCGAGAAAACAATAGTGAAATGGAAACTGAGGGAAGAAGAAGACCAAATATGAGATGGATTGACTCCATAAAATAAAGCACAGCCTTGAGTTTACAGGAACTGAGCTGGACTATGAAGGACAAGATTTTTTGAAGGGCATTCATTCATAGGGGCACCTTAAATCAGAGGTTAACAACACATGACAACAGCATCCACTTTCCCCAATTTAGGGTATAATGACCTAAAGTTAAAAGCAATAAATCTGAACTCAGTACTCACCATATTCATATTTTCATTATTATAGCCACTGATCAAGAAGAGGAAATTTCCACAAAGAGTACTAACGGCTCCCAGACCGCAGACAGTACTACTAATACGTTGGACTAACCAGTTCTGGGGAAGAAATTCTCTTTTGCCGAAAATAAACTGTAAAATACAAAGAAATGTGATAGTTGTAGTAATCTGATTTATTTTTTTGTTTCTTTATTTCCTCTAGATTTTGTTGCTGTCATGCAAAAGTAGCAGACAAATCCTCCCCTCTTTATATTGTACTTTTCTTACATTGTTTCTATAATTTCCAAACTAGCCTTCCCCAACCTGATGCCATCCAGTCTGGTTGGTTACAATGCCCATCATCCCTAAGCAGTCAGGTTGGCATAGGCTGTTTTAAACAAGACAAGTAGAGAATTAGGGTTAGGGTCATACAATAGATTAAATTGGGTAGAATTGAGACCAGGGGCTGAAAAGATTTGGCTAAGGACAAGAAAGAAGTTCCTGGTCTGAGTTGAGACTTCATTGGAGTCTTCCAGCTGAACATGTTGCAGGTGAACCCTCTCTCTCTCTCTCAACTCAACTGATATATATATATATATATATATATATATATATATATCAACTCAGAAATAAATCTGAGTGAGAAGTACAGAGCCTTCTCCAAGGTAAGTACATGCAGGATTGCAGCTTCCCCTTTCTAACAACAATGCTGCACCAACTCACATGCTAGGCTTGAGACATCAGTGGGCGAGCACAGAGGAAGAGTGAGCCTACTTAGATTGACACTTCTGCTCTTTTCACTAGACATAATGCGGGTGCCCCTCCTTTACAAAGTAAAATATTTGCAACTGTTCAGTTCCATGTTTAAAGATTAAATACCATAAGAAAGAGGGTAGGAGACACAGGTCACCAAGTTATAGTTTTCCCCACTAGAGTGAGATGCATTTCATTTTAATTTAAACTATAGCATTTCTCAATTTGCATGTTTAATTATAAATACTCATACATGGTTATATGCCTATTTTATCAAAATTGATGCCCTCTTTTTCTTCTTTGTGGGTGAGTGGCTATACGAGTAACAAAAATTACCATAAGATGTATTTTGCTCAGATCCTAAAGATATTGCATACCTATAAATGCCAAGTTACTTTAACATGGTAATCTCCATGGAAGTTTCTGAGCACATGTATGACTGCTGAGAGTAGAGATTAGTCTCACTGGTAAGACATGGGTTCTGAATTCACTATTGACTGTTTTTTTATATTAAAACTCCATATGCAAATTTCCCAATAGTGTTAGAACTACAAATAATTTAAACATTTGAAATGAACATAGATTGGAAGGATACAGTTATTTACGTATTAAAAATATCTAATATTAGCAGGTGCTGTGCCTAAAGTGAGAAAGTGTTTGACACCACAGCCAGACGTAAGACCTGTAAGTCCCACTGGACTTACTATAGGATAGTAACTTTAATACTATCTGTGAAATGCAGTGAGGGAAATGCAGAAACCCCAATGGAGTGTAGTAGGTGAAGCTAGCTTCGTTTCAGACCATCTGGACAAAAGGATAATGGAAAGGAAGAGGAAAACATACCCTGAGCAGTCTTTCTGGAAGCACAAAAAGCCTTACTGCAGGAGTTTTGGCATGGTCAAGTCTAGTCACCGGAGCCAATGCAAAAAACATTTTAATCTTTTGAGCCAGCTCTGGCATTGTTGAAAATGCTATGAATGCTGAGGGAGAAAAAAAATCAGAGACAGAAGAGGTTCAACAAAGTGAATAAAACATAGCGGAAGTTTTGCTTCCCGTCCAACCTTTAGTTTACACAGTAGCATTTAAGCCATAAATATTGCCCACATGCCTTACAACTAGTTCAACATGGGATTCACTGGGGTAGACCATAGGAGTCTCTTTGCACTGAACTAAGCCTAAAGCCCATGCTGGCCATATTTCATGTAAAAGCCTTAGGAAACATTACATAGGCTTGGAGAACTGACCAGGTAAGGCATGCCCTCCATCAAGCAGGATGTTATTGATTTTCTCCTCTTTTTGCTTTGATTCTCCATGCCATATTCCACCCATTTCATATGGAATGTGCCTCATATCATATAAGCAATCTCCAAGTAAAAGGTGTTAGGCCCTTCAGGGAAGGATCAGCCCAGCATAAGATCCCCAATTCCGCTGACACCTGGGTTTTACAAAAGATGTCCAGATTGATTTCCTTTTTACCCTTTCAACCAAAGAGAAAATGGGCTACTCAGAATCGTTTAGGGCACCATTCCATGCATGTTAGTGCAGGAAACAGGCATTATGCATTATGAGGGGCATGCTGAGAAATGTAGGACTTTTCCCCTCTCTACACTGGATAGGACTGTGTCTTTAAACTGCTTTTACTATTACAGAGGTGACATAGGAGTATTTATTCTGAGGAACATACCTATGGTAGTGCCCTGCGAATGGCCAACATAGTATAACTGCTGTTGACCAGTTTTTTCCAGAATGTAGTGGATCATAGCTGGAAGATCAAACTTGGCCATCTCATCAAAACTAGAGAAGGAGGAAACAAACACACTGACTACAGAATAGGTACCAGCTAATACACAGAACCTGGATTGGCATGAACACCTGTTGGGTTAGCATTCCCTGATTTGTTGTGCATTCTTCCAGCCATAGCATCCCCACCACTCACCCACAACTGCAGGAGGAACTGTCAGGTGAGTGGCAGAGGGATAGTGAGAAGTCCTTCTTTGGTCTAGCACATGATTTAAGCTTGACAAGAAATATTGGGGTAGACATTTAAAAATGCCAAATTCAGAATCTGAACTGAGTTATTTCCCATTTTGTTGATATCATCACATTCTAGCATTTAATACTTCTTAAAAAAACAAAGGGATATCAAGTAAGGAGTCCTATGAAACACTGATATTACAGTCTTAATGGATTGAAACAATGAAGGAAAGGGTATGCGTTTATCTAAGAAGAGAGCTTCTTGCATTTTAAAGGGCATGGTCCTATGGCCTCCTGGCACCAACTGGCAGACTTAGGATTTTTTGGAGTTTCAACATCTGGGTTCTTTGCCTCCAAAAGCCAAACTGCTGCCCTCCCCTTTGCAGCTGGTACAGAAACAATTATGCTCACTTCCTCCCCCTGAAGTTGAAATTGGGTTTCTTCCATCTCCCCAGCCCGAACAGGAATGGCGATAAAATGCAAAGTGTGTGGGGTGGTGGTAGAAGAGATGGTTGCAGCCATGCCTCTCACCTTGCACTGGCTCTTCACAAGTCCTAAAGCATGGGTCCTCAGACTAAGGCCCGGGGGCCGGATCTGGCCTGCCATGCCCATTTGGTCCTGCTGCAACCACGCCCATGCAGGCGCCCGCCGCCACCCACCTCACCCCGCACGCAGGGAGGCCGTGGTTTGCTCGCTCGGAAAAAACGACCTCCAAGTGAGCAAGCCGCTGCCTCGTGCGCCTGCCTCCCCTCCCCATGCATGCCCGCCCGCCCACACCTCACCTTGCCACATGCCCTGCCCCCACCTCAGTGTACGCGCCTGCACGCACCCCCCCTCACTGGCCCATGTACAACGCCAGCACCACCTTTCCGGCCCGTGGCTAGCACCAGCACCTTTCAACTGGCCCCCTGCTGAAAAAGTCTGAGGACTGCTGCCCTAAAGGCTTCTAAATTATTGAGGTGCAATCCTTCTGCCACAAGGATAGAAGGATAGCACCTCAATTATTACGCAGAGAATGTCTTGAGATATTTAACAATGTGTGTTTCTTGTTGCAATTATCAGAGCTCACAATGATTAAATATACCTGAAAGCCCAAAATTCATCTTGATCTACAGACAGATGTTGGTGACTTCTGGATAATATATTTCCTCTTGTGTTTCCAATCCAAACATCATGGTTAGCATCTGCAAGTATGAAGCCCAAACTGTTGTTGGCCAAGTTTGTGACCCATTGGCTTCCATCTCCCAGGAAACCATGCTGGAGAAACACCACGGGTTTCATAACTGGAGAAGGAAGAAAATAATTTCTTTACTTGATATTTCCATGTCATTTTTTAAAGAACTGGAATAAATATCATTTGGATACCCATTTAATATTCAGAACCTTCCCTCTTGATGTGAAATTGAAATACATGTCTCATTGGGGTAGGTGTTAATGCTAATAATTGTTTCAGTTACAGCTGAAATAAAGACCTATCAGCTGAGACAATTGAGGTAATAGGACAATATCCTACAGGGTGCTTATACCTTCATCAGTTCCCTTTCACAAATGGCACCTGAAAACGTTCATTTCATTAAACAGTAGAAACAAGGAGAAGAATATTAAAATAAAAGGTGCTAATAGCTGAAAATTCTATATCAGCTTCCCTGGGAATCAGCTCTGCAGAACTCAGTGGGACTTATTTCCCTTCACACATGTGTAGGATTGTTAGGTAATCTGTTAGCTGAGTTGTGTTCACAACTGAGGTCTTGGGTGCTCGGCCCAGTGTAATCAGATGTTGACTCCAGGGATGAAAAAGACCAAGAGTGACAGCTTTTGAAGCATTTAATTTGCTGTAAGTAGAACTGTACATCAATTCAGATCTGGAAGATGGGATTTGAATGTGGCTAACAAACACGTCTTGAGTACACTTGTCTCCATCTACCTTCTCTCTATTTTGCCTCTTCTTAAGGAATCATACCTGAATTTCCCTGATTCTTAATGCCAAATGGTATTCTGCTCATGCTGAGAATATAGCCATCTCTTGTTACCACTGTATGCTCCTCAGCAGGATAACCTTTGCTGGTAATGAGTTCACTCTGTAAGAGTGGGAGAAAAATTAATGGTTTTTCTGGAAGGATTTCTATTATTTCACTCTCTTCTTTCAGCATTCCATGTGGAGATGTGCCTGGAACAGCATATACAATAGTACTGAATAACACACAGTATTCAGAAAGTGATAGAAAGTTAGGATAAGTGCTGTGTTACCCATTATCCTAAATGAATAGCCACTACTTCTCCTATACTCTGCCCTAGTAATATTTATTTGATTAATAATAGCAGCAATATTTTATTTCTTTCATTTCTATACTGCCCCACAGCCACAGCTGTGATGAAAGAAAACAAAGCTGTTCACCAGTCTCATTCCGTTAAACTGGCCATGCCTTCTCAGGGGTCATAAACATCTTGAGAGCAGCAGCACCATGTTGTGCATCTTTGTTAACTACCCATTAACAGAAAGAGAAGTGGGCTGGTGCTGGCCAGGTCGCATATGGGTCTACCCGAGACCATAGGCTACTTCAGAATAAGGAATAATTTGACTTAGTAAGGGCAGATAATGTCTTGATAGTGATTGGTATCTGTTATTTATTCCTGTGGCCAGTACCCCAAATTAAGGTCCGGGTCTCTGGCTCCTAAAAATATAATCCTTGCTAAGCTTGGGAAAACTCTAAATGTCCTACCTGTTTTAATTAAAATGCACCCCCCTCCTTATCTTTTCCTGGCCCCACCTGAGTGCCTTCGCAATAGGCTTTGAGTGCTTCTTTTTGGGAAAGGAAGAACAGAGTACCAGTTTCTTAAATCATAGTACACAAAATATGCCAGGCAAAAAGATGGTTCATAGAAAGCGGTATTCTTATTATTTTTAATTGTTATTATCCACTATTATTATTTTTACATTGCACTTATATTCTGCTTTCCCCCCTCTTCTAAGGGAAAGGCAGCTCATATAGTCATCTTGCATTCCATGTTATTTTCACAATAAAAATCCTGTAAGGTAGGTTAGACTGGGAATGAGAGCCTGGCCCAAAGTCACCCCTTGCGTGCAAGGTCCAAAGAGAGAGGAAGAATTTAGAAGATGGGGGCCTTGAAATGTGTGCAAAACACCTTTGGATTTTAAAACTGTGCTACTGAAATGACAATGCATTCCACTGCATTCAATGCATGATTCTGAGCGAACAGCAACAGGTCACTTACGATGTTCCTAAAGGCGTCTGGATCCACAGCCCTTTTTGTTCTCATGGGTTCCCTTGAATGGACCAGTCCCAGGCACAGGCACAGCACAACAATGAAGGGCCTCATCCTCTTGCTTGGTAGCTGTTAATACATGACACAGAGAGCTCTCACTTCAGCGGCTGTTTGAAGCAGGGCTGGGTAAATGCCAGGCTCACAGGGTGCACTTTGTTTTAAGTAAAGCCCAAAGTAAAGTAAAGTAAAAAGGTAAAATAAAGCCCAAAGTACAGTGCTGATGCTGGCAATGATTGAAGGTATAGGAAGGGGACAGCAGAAGTTGAGGTAGCTGGATGGGGTCACTGGGATGGTGGGTGTGGGCTTGGCTGGACTCCAATGGATGGTGGAGGACAGGAGAGCCTGGAGGAATGTTTTCCATGAGGTGCGAAGAGTCAGGCATGACTTTGCGACTGAACAACAACAAAAGCCCAAAGACCCACCAGCTGGGGCCTGGTACAAAAGGCACACACATAGAATTAAAGCAGGCTGAGCTACGCTAACCTGGGCGTCCGTCATTTCAGCAGCTCTGTTTAGGTGGGAAGAGTCCTTCTGTTGCAGCTCTTGTAAAACAATTGGGAGCCCACCTCCTGGTCCCGGAGATTTGCCGCTAGAGCCCTATCTGGCTTGTGCCTCTTCCTGTTTTGAAGTATACAACAGAAGCCTTTCAAGGGTGCACTTCAGGTGTTTGGGGAATATAAAAGCTGGGTTTCGCAAACTCTTTTGGAGAACATAGAGAGGGAGACTTGCTTGTTTCCCTTAAAATACCAGAATCCAAGGTCACCCCATGAAGTTGATTGGCGGGAGATTTAGGACAGGCAAAAGAAGTACTTGATCATGTACCACACGGTTAAACTATGCAATTCATGCACTATGGAAGCAGTGATGGCCACCAATTTGGACAGCTTTAAATATAAATACATGGGGGAAGAGGAGGAAGCTATCAGTGGTTACTGGCCTCTCTGGTTCTGTGCTATGCCCATTACCAGAGGCAGCATGCCTCCATTTATTGATATTCTATCAGGGACCTTGGATGGAGCTGGGGAGCTCAAGCAGGCAGAGATCAAGTATCCATCCTGCTTGGGGGATCCTGTGAACAGCTGGTTTGTCCCCATGAGAACTGAGTGCTGGACTGGGCAGGCAATACCAGGAAGATCTACCAGGAGATAATCCTGGATATTTATACTATTAGAATAACCTTAATTTAAGCTATTGTCACGAATTATTTTGTGTCTATCTCCCTATCCATTATCTATACATCTATGGATGCTACCCACAAGAAGAAGAGGTTGATTTTTGCAAATTAGGGCCTAGCCTTAATATGTAATTCTTCTAAATGGAAACCTCTTCTCAAACTTTTTGCTCATCAAATTAAAGAGGAATAAAGAACAAAGAAGATAAGCCATATCATTGTTTACTAGCCAGTAGAAATCCATTCATTTCTCAAATGCTCTCAAATCTGAATGCAAATGTTTTCAAGAGAAAGTGAGAGAGATGATAAAAAAATTATATCGTTTATCACCATTTCTCTATATAAAGCTATTACATGATAGATAAAACCAACCTGATGTGTAATTCACTTGCTCTGCTGAGAAGTTCGAATGGGAAGATGATGAAGGAAATATTTGCTATTTATAACAGGAAAGAAAAAACAGCAGATCAGCAACGCCAATCATACATAACTCCTTCCTTTTAATAACAATCCAGATGCTTATAGCCTTTCAAACAATGTTGACAGTGTTCATATAACTCTTTCCTTTTAGTTAATCAAGTGATGGCCTATTCTCTTTCAGCTACCATGTGGCAGTAATAGTGAAAGGAAATCATTGGAAATTAGACCCTGACAATTATTATTCCCTGTATTCTCATGTGTTGTTGTAGATTTAGGGGGAAGTTTAAGCCTCTTTAGTGAGATGGGAGGTGTTGGGGGTGCCGAAGGGAAGGATTTTCAAATGCCAACAGATCTGTAACCAGAAGAATGAAGTTTCAGTTGCCCAGCATGGTTCTTTGTGTAGTACAGGGGAAATACCTTGTAAGGTTTCATGGATTCACATTTTGTGCCATAATGCTGGGAACAATTGACAGCAAAAGAAGAAGGGGACGGCAGAGAATGAGGTGGCTAGATGGAGTCACTGAGGCAGTTGGTGTGAGCTTGAGTGGACTCCGGGGGATGGTGGAGGACAGGAAGGCCTGGAGGAATGTTGTCCATGGGGTTGCAATGGGTTGGACATGACTTCGCAACTAACAACAACAACAACAACAACATCCAAATACAGATGGAGGAGAAGATTGCTTCATCGACATTTTACTATGAATGTACTTAATTCCACACTTTGAACTAAGATGTGAACTGAAGTGAATGTCTGAATGAACCAAAGAATGGTGGAATTCCAGTTTTCACAATTTGGCTGAAATATCTAAGTGCCAAATAAACAAATGATCATTTGATTGCCTGGTTAGCATACTTAGAAGCAAGGCAGAACCCAAGTGTCTCCATACACATGATCACAGGCACAACTTGATGTTTGAAGATTGGCATTGTTGGGGGCAAATTGATCAAGGATATGGCAGAGAGAAATGCCAACCCACCTTGAAATGCTTTGTATCACTTAACTCTCAAAGAGGTTCACAGTCCATGCCTCTAACAAATTTGGCTTTGCTGTCTCTCTAGAGCAGATATATTATACTGGCACATTATAAATGTACAATTAAAAGATGTAGATAAGTCAACCAACCAAACAAAGAGAAGTCTATGGATATATTGTTCTTCTCATGTAGGTATGGCACAGTCCCTTTGGGAAAAGCTTTGCTGCAACAAGCCTCCATTGTCTGCTGGGATTATATCCTTAATTTTCACTACTTCAGCCATCCATTAAATAAATGGGTATATTGTGTTCCAAGTATGAAGAAGGAACATCTACATGATACTTTTGAGTAGCACGTTCAAAGTGCTTCAAATTAATTGAGAATTTGTACAACAATTTGGTTGTGATCCAGACTTAGTTATAATTTGAGCTGACCCATTGGAAATCAATTAAACTAGCATAAATAATGCTTAGTTTTGACTAAGAAAGGGGAAAAAAGAGCAAAGGGAGAGTGGGCATGTCAAGGAGGAAGACATGGGGGGTCACAGATGCAGAGCTGTTTTCCAGAAGTGTACCTGCCTGATTATTTCTGGCATGCATGCACTCTCTGACAAGATTCCCAGGTGCACATGAGAGATGGCCTGTTTTGGAGGGACTGATAGTTCAGACGCTGAGGATGATGGGGAGTTGGCTCAACCAGGACAGGCTCAGAGCTCACACTCTGATAACAGAATTGTTGTTGTAACAGAGAGGCCTACAACCACACACTCCCCACCGCTGTGCCAGTCTCCCCCGGCCCTGGATGAAAGTAGCTCAAGGACAGCCACAGGCCCAGTCACCCTCCCACCTGTGGGAACGAGGCAGACAAAGGACGGGAACAGGGAAATGTCTCAGGTGGAGAACACAAGCCTCCTGAAGACATGGACCTGAGGCGGCAAAGGGAATGGAGATTGGCTACCTGAGAAACACTAGCGGGTCCGGTTGGGACCTAGGTGGGCAAGATCTGGCCCATAGGCCTGAGGTTTGACAATCTGTGGGGCAGGTCCTAGAATGTTTCAGGTCTTTGTTGTTACATTGGCATTCTATGTGTGTTCCCTAATTCCTTTATTTGTTTTTAATAGCAAGATTTTTTCTACAAAATGTATAATATCTTTTGAAAAATCCTGGCTAGTGTAAAGGTGTCATTTCTAAAAATTTCACTGTTGAAGCACATAAAGGAAGTGATTAATGAGAATGCACTTGCATATAACAACTCCCACTGAAGGTGGCAGTATGAGTAGATAATGCTAATGAAATATGAACACTGTGCTACTTCTCAAAGGATACATGTTCTCATTTGGCTCCTTTCTTTTTCTCTGGACACTGTCCCCCGACAGGCTGGTGGCATCCTTTCTGCATTGATCTATTTCTCTTTCTAGTCTGGGATGTCTATTTCTGACAATCCCTTCCGGACCTTGCTTCTCCTGAAGAGGAGCAGTCGGTTCCTCCCTTTCCCTTTCTCCCGGTGGGGCCTCTATCTCCCGGTCTGGCCCACCTCCCTGGCTTTTCCAGGAGTGTATGGCAGATCATCCCAATGAGACAACAACCATCCCATTGGACTGTGAGGGGGAATTTTCGGCGGGGTTTCCTTCCCTTTTTCCCTTCCTCCTCCTCCCTTAGTTTTGCCTTAGAGTTTCCCATGGTCACTCTTCCCGAGGCCTTCCCAGCCTCCAATCAGTCAACTGTAGCGCCTGCTTTGTCCCCATGGACTCTGTGCTCACCGATGACCCTTTATCACAAAGTGCCAACACTGCAATAAAACCTGAATACTGTAGTTTTGGTTTAGAAAAAACAACTCATACATAAGAAAACTCAAAGCTAAAATCTTGTGTTAATAAAAATGAATGTATTAAAACTCATAGGCAGTCCAAGCAATATAAATATATATATCCTTGGCAGTGTACTGACCAGACATGGAAAAGCTTGGAGGAGTCGTGGCTAATGAGTTGCGGCTCGTGACATCATCTCCTGGTGCTGCTACTCCTTTCCAAGCATGCGCACGGCCCCCGTGTGCCCTGTTATCCAATGCTCGGCTGCTGGGGCGACTTGGCTCGTGGGCTGACAGAGGGCTTTGCGTGCCCACTGTGGCATGTGTGCCGTAGGTTCGCCACCACTGCTCTATAAGAACTTACATGTTTTCACATTCTTATTCATGCTGGATTGCAATGATATTATGAACAAGCAGGAACTTCAATCAAATAGAGACTCCTGCCAGGGGAAGGGCAGTGGGGATAGAAGGCAGTAACCATTACCATGCTGGAGGAGGCCCTGGGAAATGGTGCCTCTGCTGGATTGCAGCCATGCTGACTGGGTTTTCATGTATTTCAGTGGCTTCTAAATATTTTTTCTTTGCTGAGTTTGATATATTTTGAGGGAGACGCTTCTCCACGCTAGTCTGTATAGTCGAGTCCTGTACATAATTATTTTCTTCTTCGTATGCTGTTGCTAACTTGAAAAGGCTCCTACTTTGCGAATACTGAATTCTGGCTAAGTATGGTGCTTTTTAGCCAAAGCAATTCTAATTCTGCAATTTTAAAGCATGATGTTTTAGCTTGGAAATGTACTGAAAAGCAATCACAATGGGTGACAGTTATTCATAAATACATGTTCAAAAATAAGCTGTTCTGTGCTTAGTATTAGTATGCTTCATTGGAGCATTAGTACCAATTCTCTCTACTCTCAGGGCTGAACTGCACCTGACACCAACGGATAGAATTAAGAGGCAGGCAGAGGAGCTTCCTTTTAGAAGGTGACAAGCAAGCATGGAGGGTCACCTGTGGCACAAGCGGCTCCTGACGGCTGCAGTTGTTCACGTCACTGAATGCCCTGAAGTCAAGTTAGCTTTATTTTTACTTATTATTACATTTTTTTTAAATGAAGAGAACAAAAAAGCAAAGTAACTGCATAGATAAATGTGCAGCAGAAGAGGAAGGCCAAATGTGCGATTGTTGGTAGTTTTCTTCTATTAAGGAAGCTGCAGGCCTGTCTAGGACAGGACAGCATTATACACAAACCTACAGTAGCCAAATCGTGTGATCTAATTTTAACATTTGTAATTGAAATTCAGGTGTGCTTGAATGTCTAAGAATCTGAGCCATGGATCCTACAGTGGACAAGCTTTTCCTGAGCCATCTGGATTCCAAGGACTTGCAGACTTATTTTTAAACTTTCCATAACTTTACACAAATGTAATTGTAGAATATATGGAAAATAAACAATACGAAAAGCTATGTGTTTACCCCTTAGACTAAATTATGAAAATATGCATTAGGGAGAAATGCATATTTGGGGAAAATTTGCACATATAGGGGAATGCAAATTTGTGGAACTTCATATAAACCACATTTCCATGAAAACAGATTCCTTCCAATAGCATACAGTGGCATAAAAGGTACAACACAATCTGCAAAACACAGGTGTCCATCCATCCCTAATGGCTGATGATTATTCCAGTGATTTGGTAGATATTCAATAGATGCCACTGATGTCTTTAGCAGTCACAGGAGTTCTTGTTCTGATGGCTGGTGTATATATTTGGTTTTCTTTTGGGGTTCTTCTCAGTATAATATTGCTAACCTGAAATGGCTCCTACTTTGCAAATACTTCTGCAAATAATTCTGGTCAAGAATGTTCTTATCCAAAGCAATATGTAATTCTAATTCCACCATTTTAAAGCATGGCATTTTGGATTGAAAACATACTAAAAAGCAATCATAATTTGTCATAGTTATGTAACGTGATTACACTATGGAGCAGATATAGATATGGATCTGTACACATTTCAGATCTTAACCAGAAACATTTCTGAATGCCCCTGCAAAAAGCAGCTTTTCCTTCTTACGTGCTGTGTTTTTTTTAATAACTTTCTTGTGTCTGGTAAATCAGTTCCCCTTCCCAGCAGTTTAATCAACTAGAAAGAAACAAGTGGTGAAGACCAAGTTGTAAAAGTACAGTTTAATTAAGAAAGGGAATCTTAAAGGCATTTTCTCTCAGAAAATGAAAAGAAATGTCCACTTTGATAAGGAATATTATATTGGTACATCTGCATGAGATTAAGCACTTCTGGGAACAGGTATTTTGGAGCCTCAGTGTCCCAGATAAAATCAGCATGGTTCCACTCAGGTATAGTCTTGTTGAAAACTAAATTGGAGATGCGAAGGCGCAATTGGTCAGCATCCTTAGCAGTTGTAACAATGTCTGTTCCACCACTCCATATGGCTGTTGGCACCATCATGTCTTCTATTTTATAAAATGGAGGGTTGCTCTGTTGAAGGAAAGATGCAAAATAGGAAAATAAGTTTCATCGATCAATTTGACAAAGAACCTTGTTTTTCAGGTATTTCATCACAATTCCCATGTGAAAGGTATGGGTGTAGGATATTTAAGCTACATGAACGCATGCCATGGCCATACAGATGACAGCACATCCAGGATTTGTACCAGAACACTCTGAAGTTGAAGAATGTTGACATTTTCTAAGCTTTGTTGGTCCACTGTTCACAGGAGAAAATGAGGGTGGAGCAGTATCAGTAACTTTTCCTGCATTGTCTTAACCATTTCTCTACCACTGGTTGCAATAGGAATGAAATAATAGCTGTGTGTGGTCTGAATGTTGCCCTGTTCTGAGAACATAGTTCTGAGCTTGGAGGGCTTTAGCTCCTTCAGATTCAGACCCTGCCTTGCTCAGCCCACACCATGCCCTTCATCCTCTCCCCTTCTGATTTTGTGCAGGAGCAGGGAAAGGGAATCCAAGTTTGGATCTCCTCTTCTGAGATTAAAGCTTTGTCACCAGACTCAAAGGGGAACTTCCCATACCCTCCCAGGTGCCAACATTCCCAACCAGAGGAAATGTTTTGACCAGTCCTGTAGCTGTCCCCACCCCCCCACTGCAAGCATTAATTTTCTAACACCCATGAACACCCATGGATAGGATTGTCCTGTTAGAACCTAATTAGCTGCATTGTTCTTTCCTACATGTAGGAATATTTAAGCATTATCATTTAAAACAATGTTGATATGTTGAAAATTAATAACATCTTGATCCTATGACTGCTAGATAGTATGTCACAAGCCAGAGGAGCTTTTAGGATCCTACCTCCAGCATTGGAAAGTCAGACTAAGGTCAGAGATGTGACTCTCAGTCTGAGAACTTTCTACCCCACCTCACAGCTGGTGCAGAAAGAAACTGTGCTGGCTGTTTCTTGAGGTCACAACTGTGACCTCACAGCCAGGGCAGTGTGAGCATTCCAGGGCAGGAAGGGAGTGACAGGCAGAGCCATGCCATGCGGTATTTGCAGGGTGCCTTAGCTTCTTTCTCCCCACACCGCCCACAAAGCACTGCAGATACGTGGTCAAAATTGGCAGTCTAAGTACTTTGCAGGGTGAGAGGATGCAGAAGCAACCCTGTGAGAAATGAAAAAATACTGTTGCTAAGTAGGAAGGTGAAGATTGAAGCCAGGGTGAAATAAAAGGCCTGAGGATAGAACCCTGTAGAAAGTTGTAACAAAAATATTAGTGCTTCTTACATCAAAGCCCTGAAGAACACAAGTGAGGTGAGGTGGGGAGGGACAATGGCAAAATCATCACCTTTTGCAAAGGGAGCAGGAAATTGATTGCCTCTTACAACTAGCCATAATGAGCTTGGAGGAAGGACTGTTTTCCTATCTCATCCTCCTACAAGATTTGGGAAATAAGTGGTCATCAAGCGAGATGGTTACAAGGCCAAGACGACCTAGTGAACTCTTAGAAAGTAGTGCGCACGCTTATTAGGCTTATGAATAATAACTGACACACCTCTCATAGGTAATGGGCTCATTAGCATGAACATGGGATGTATGAGTGGGAGGGGGACCAAATCAAGGGGTAGTATGATGTAGGCGGATGAAGAAGATTGTGAACTCTTAGTAACCCAGCCAATGGGAGAAAAGAGGCAGGGTCTGCGAGCCAGGAAAAGGGACTAAAAAGCAATGTCTTGTGTGAAAACGGCGCGCTGCCTGTGTGGTGGGCGCCCGCCCTTGCAAGAACGTAATGAAGTATTACTGCTTGGTACTTTGCCTCCCATATCGCCACTGCTTGGATTTCATTCCTTACAACCCCCACGTCACCTTCACCCTGCAAAGGACACCTGCGCTCCTCTGAGTTTAGAAGGCTATCAGCATCTGGATCGGATTTTGCCTATACATATATACATACACGCACAGAGAATGAATGTAATGGAAGTTGCACCAGAAAGAGACAGAGGAAGTAGGCATGAGTAGAGTCATTAAGAGAAAAGGCATGTGACAGTTTACAGAAGAGAAGGACAATGTGCAGTAAAAAGTGGAAAAGAAGCAATGCCCAGGACCTAAAGGAGCATGGATAGCTATTTTGTACATCTAGAAGAGCATTTCAACAGATTATTTTTCCTGCTTTGATGTGTTTTCTGTGTTGCATCATTCTCCAAGATGTGGAAAACTGTTTATAAAGCAATGCTAACTATGAATTTTCAACAGCAGTCAAAACCACTCATTTCATCTGAAAACTTAATATCCAGCAAATCACCATGATCACTGCCACTTTCCTTACCGTGTTATATATCGCTTTGTTTTTAGCTCCATAGTCAAAATATTTAAATTCTTTTGATTTAGAAACCTAAAAAGAAAAGAATTATGCATAGATTTCATTTGGTAAGTTTAAAAGGTAAATAAAATAAAACTTAAAATACAGAAGATAAAATTTTAAAAAAGGATGTTGCATATTAGACACAAAACAAGGCAGAGGAGACCCTTTTTCTTCCAAGAGCCAGATTTCTCTTTGGAAAGGTCTTGTGGGCCAAAGGTAAAGTTCATATAACAAGAGCAAAGTGGACTGTCCATTTTAAACCTGCTCAGAAATAGGGATGTATAAGAAATTCACTTCAGCTCACTATCAAATGTTGTTTACCCAATTCATACATCCTGGATCCAAAAGCAGACTTGGATGCAATCAGTGGTCCAAGTTCATACATTTCCAAGTGTGTGATACGTTTCATAAACTGGCAACACATTTGACATTATGCACACATTTGAAAAGGCACAATGCATATTTTGAAAACTGCACACAAATACACTTTAATAAAGGGGAGAAAATGCATCTGTTCAAAGAAGACACAAAACTGATGCATACTTCTGGGAAAAACATGCACCCAAATATGCATGGTTTACATGCAAACTATAAAGAACCCCTCAGAACCTGTTATGAATATGAATCAGAATGCGCTTTGTTGCATAATCTGGAGAACTGTGACAAGTTCAATTTTTGTTAATTTACTTATCCCTCAGAACTAAATAGAAGAAAGCAGGACTGAATCACTCAGCAGCTTTTTCAAACAGCATCCAAATAGTAGATCTGGAGATCTACTCAGAAGAAAGTAGAAGTCTCTCCTGATCTACCAACCTGAAAACAGGACAAGCCCCAAAAGTAAGCATGCCTGAATCAGTAGCTCCTCCCTTTCTCTTGAAAGGAAAAGCTGTTATCTACAATTACTACTGGTAGTAGCTATTCTCTACAGAGTACTGAAAAATGGAATTTCTGGTCTGGGGGGAAACTGGCAGACTAGATGGGGAAGTCAGGTGTAATTCATTTATCTTACAGACAAAGAGCAAATATTATGTATAGTCCTTTGAAACACAGAAGAAAAAAAAGCATTAAACATTACCTGGCTCCAGTGAACTATTGTTTTTACAGAAGAAAAATCAGGATAGATTCCCAAATATGTATCTACTCGACTCTGAAAAAGCAATAGTTTTAGAATGTGCTTTTCTGGCAGATCTGAAGAAGCTAATGAATAATAAATATTACTAAATGGGTTTATAGTATTTGTGATACTGTATTTGTGATTGCTGTGATAAATGAGGCAGTGTGTGAGAGTAAATTTGAAAGGTGAGAAAGGTGAGAAAATTTGCTAGAAGAAAGTGCCATTTAGTAACAATACATATTTTATTGTTAACCAAGCATTTAACGAGTACAAAATGATAACTGAGAGGATGGGAGAGAACAAGCTATTTCACAGGTTCCAGTATCAACAAATTAGAAGCTCTAAATCATGAGTCCTCAATCTATGCTCATTCATCCAGCCCGCCTCAGAATGATCTCCGAGCGAGTCCAAAAGCTCTGAGCCAGCGCAGGCATTCTTTGAAAATGAGCAGAGAGCCAGTGCATGTGCCTAATTGTAAAAGCTTGACTGCTCATGTGCCTGATCTCCCCCCCCGTCCCCCGCCCGTCGTTGCATGCATATACAGACTGAGAATACGGAGCGGGAAACAGAAGAGAGTTGGGTGGAACAGAGAGACAAAGATGCTAAAAGAGGATTGAAGGTAAGAAAATATAACTTTTTAAATCTATTGTTAATTATGTGAGCCATGTCCCCAGGCTGTGGCTGCCTCACTGAGCCCGGGGGCAGCTGCTTGAAGGCTGCGGCTTGCCCATAGAAGGTTGCCCCCAGGCTCGATGAGGCGGCCACGGCTTGCGGCGGAGGTGCGAGAGCCACAGCCTTCAATGGGCGAGCCACCACCGCCATCGAGCGGCTGCCCCCAGGGTCGGTGGGAGCAGAGCAAACATTTTTGAATTTTTAAATTAATTTTTTAATTTTAATTAATTTTAATTATTTTAATGTGCAGTGTGCATAGGAATTCGGTCATTTTTTTTTCAAACTATAGTCCGACCCCCGCAACAGTCTGAGGGACAGTGAACTGGCCCCCTGTTAAAAAGTTTGAGGACCCCAGCTCTAAATGATAGCATGGTGTAAGTAAAATGCTGCAATTTGAAGAACCTCCTCACTTTTACCAAGCTCAAAATTAAAGTTAACTTCCAAAAATATCAAATTGTATAAAAGATTTAAAAAAATATTTCTGAGCATACAATAAAGAACATGGACTGGAGGTGCAACTTACAGAAGTGTAAATGAAGTTTATGTATGTGCAAAGAAGTGAACAGTCCATTGCTGTAAACGTGAAGAAAATAGTAACTACATATCACATTACATACTACGTATAACAAAGAAAACAGATACTGAAATGTCTGAAAATTTGTACCACTACTGTTTGGAGATGTATGATCTGACACTATCAATAAGTGTGTTGTGATTACTAAGTGATCACATAAATAGTATGCCACAGACTTAGTAGAAAAAAAATTAATTTCATGACCCCATAGTGTAAGGAAGTTGGAATTAGGTGAACTTCCTACAAGTACACACTAGCTAAATCCAATCTTGTGAAATAATATATTAAAACAATTCTGAATAAATTGTTGGAAATTTGCCTTGTAAGATTCACCCTTTAAACTTTTAAAGAAATGATCAATTGCTATTTTACTCTAAAGAAAAATACCCTACGGGCATGAGGCTGGTATAGGGAGGAGCCTGAACTACTTCACTTTGTAGATCTTAATTCAACAATTGTGGTTCAGATAGAGAACATAATTGATCTTTCAACTAATTATTTACACCTGTTGCAGAAGCAACTACAAAAATGAGGTCTTGGTTTCCAAAAATGTTTGTATTTCAGTGCACTTAAAAAAAAAAGAGAAAATGCATTTTTGTGCTTGAGATGTGCAATGTTCTCATTCAAGAGAATTGGAAAAAAGAGTGCAAAGGAAGTCAAAAAACAAGATAAATGAAGCTTCCAGGTGGAATTCAGAGAATTTTGGCAATTAAGAATATTGTTCAGCCTTCCATTTGCATGTGAGTGCCCTGTAATGGAGTCTGGAATGACTGTAATTTGTTTTGCTTTCTATTTTGGTTATTTGGAATCTTGATAATTTTATTTAGCTAGAATTTTAATAAAATCATACAATTCACTTACCACATTTAGGTTTCCATCATTAAAACCCGCACAAAGATAAATTAGTTGGAGACAGAGTTCGTCTATTCCTGGATAGCTACACAACTGAGTACTTATGGTTTTCATCCTTTTACTAAAAAACTGGAATTCTTTTGTGCCCCATATTTTCTGTAAAACAAAAATGCGTCATTTCTTGTGAATTTCTTTAGATCAGGTTTTAATAGTGGCTTCTGATCAGCAGAGGAGGCCCTTCATTAATTTTTTATTATTATTATTTATATCCTGCCCTTTTCCTGCAAAGGGCTCAAGGCAGCTTACATCATTCTCCTCCTCCACTTTATCCCCACAACAACAACCCTGTGAGGTAGGTTGGGCTGAGAGTTTGTGACTGGCCCAAAGTCACCCAGTTGGCTCCATGGCCAAGCGGCGACTAGAACCAGGATCGCCTGAGTCCCAGTTCCATGCTCTTAACCACTACACCACACTGGCTCTCAATTTCTTTTCCTTTGCCAGTGCTCAAAATGTGTTTTCACTAGTATGTTCCAGTTTGGAACAAAAGCAGCCCTTCTCAGAAAAACAAAACAAGGATGCTTGCCTGGCCAAAGAAAGCTCCTCATGGAAAACACTGAGCAGCCTGGCATTTATTGGGCCTCATTGACTTAACCGGCAAAATCAGCATTTTGGAAGAGTTGATTCAATTTACAACATGTGATAAAGACCAGCTTTAGACAAATATGCAAGGGGTTGGAAAATGAAATAAATGTGATTAAGGGAAGAAAGAAATGAGTGAGAAGGAACTTGGACTAAATGAAAACGCTTCCAAAACCTTTCTGCCATAATTGTGGCTGGCAAATTTGGGAGCAGGGATCTTGGGAGGGAGGTAGAATTCTAGTTGGGAGGAACAAACAAACAAGCAAACCCACTAAGCAATAATAAGCACAACCAAATCTCAGAAACATTTGCTAGAAAATTCTGAGGAATCTCAGTCCACTGAAACAAACTGTGTTGTCAGTTCATGCTGGAGGATGAAGGAAGCAAGCTAAAGGAGTACTGGAAGGAAGCAGGGACAAGCCTGTAGCTTCCTTCAGTAATATTGAATTCATTTATTGTCTAATTAAATAGCAGCTAAGCAGGGCTGTCCTGGATAGGACATTTTGGAAGGCTTTTATTTGTATGGTCACCATAAGTCAGAGACAATTTGATGGTGCATAACAACATGAACATCAGCACATGCAGCTGCACTGAGGTCAGTTGAAGGCACAGACAAGCTGCCTAAAATAGGCCATGGAGTTGAACAAAAATGTGTGTGTGGTCTTGAATTTTCCAGAGCTGAGGGAACTAAAAGAATCCATAAATTAGTCTTTTGAATTATTCACTTGCTTCATATGATTGACTTATATCAAAAGAAGCAGGGCAGCAAAGAAAGAATATTAGTGCTAGATTATTATTGGTATGATGAAAAATATACTCTTAAAATTTATAGAGGAGCCTTATCCAGTATAGAGCATCTAACTGGTACTTCCAGTGTCTTCCTTTCAACTTAAAAGCAATATAAAAAGAAAAGAAAAATGAATATACAGCCTCAATTCTTGAAGAGAAATAAAAGGAAATTTGGTCTTTCTTGATAGAGGCCTCATGTACTAGGAGTAGGATTTTTTGGTCTACTGTTTTCAGGGCCTTGTGGAATGAATGGAATTAGTATTTGCTGCCTATCAGCAACAGTGGGAGAGTCACTTCCATTCTGTTTTTAACACTATAAACAAAGCAAAAGGGGGAGTATTATTAGAAAAAGAAGGTGAAGAGTTCATTTTCATGAGAATCTGTGACAGAATTAGAAATGATAAATCTAATGAAATACCTGAAAATGCTGTATACCAGCAGAATTACTGAAGGAAAACATGGAAGGATAGTGGAAACCTTTTACCACAGAGATAAAGCAGGCCCAATTGTCTCCAGCTGTACAAAAGTGATAATTGGTCCACTTTATAGGAAAGGTAGTGAGATATTGCACAGACAGATCCAGAAAAATAGTGCTCCATAAGCCTTTTATCTGTTATATGGAAGTTTGATGCTGATTATCAGTAACTCAAATTAATGGAGAAAAATATCACTGGGACAGAGCAGGCCTGCTTCAGAAAGGATTGTTCAGCCCTAGATCAGGGAATACTTCAATATCATCTGTAGGAGAAATATCCCAAAGCATCTCAAAGGGAACTATATCTAGTGTGTGTGGATTTTATATAAGCATTTGAGTCTGTATCACTAATTTAGGTAAAACCATGTAATCTATATAGGCAAGGTGACAAATGAAAAGCAGCCTACTGGATATTCATTTGGAGACGGCACAGTCAAAGACAAACTGTGTATAAACAGGCAATATCAGACTATGTATTGGCAAGCTGCTTCCAGCTTCTAGCTTTAGTTAACTCCAGGAGAGCATATATAACTGCTTGTGTTATTTGCCCTCCATCAGCAGTTATGGAAGAATTGTTGTAAAAAAATCTATTTACATGAAGACTGTGTCCTTGATGGTCAGGACATGTTGCTAAAGCAGAACATGTTTTCTTGGAATGTAATTTACATACTGCTATTAGGGGCCATTGTATAACTACACTATTTTGTGTATCATAACTGTTGGCTTGCATTAAAAAGGTTCAAACAGAGCAAGCAGTGAAATATTTGTGTTTTTAGAAATTGTTTTGAACTACACCACCTGCTTTCCAGGGTCTGTGGCTATTGGATGGAATTAAACAAATGATACTCCTGGGAGATCAATGGTATGATCTCCTTTTTAAATTGTATATATGCATGTTTTAATTGATGCTTTCAAGAGTGTGCATTCAGACTCTGTTTTGTTGTATAACTCTTATTGTTTTAATATTATACTAATTTGTGAAAAGGTCTATGGACCAAATAAACCCTTTGATTTCATCCAGTCAGGATTCTGCCTCCCGCCCACCTCAAACTCAATATTTACAAAGAGGATTGCAGTGGGTGATTACCCATCACTAAACACACACAAGAAAAATGTTGAAATGATGAGTCAATATGCTAATATATTGGTGTTGGTGATGACCTATAAAGCCCTAAACGGCTTGGGTCCTGGTTACCTGAAGGAGCGCTTACATCCATATATGCCCGGCCGCCCCTTGAGATTGGCGGGAGAGGCCCTTCTCTGGGAACCCTCCGTGAAAGAAATTAGGAGGGTGGGTACTCGGAGAAGGGCTTTCTCTGTGGTGGCGCCTAAGTTATGGAATGCGCTCCCCAGAGAGGTCTGCCTGGCGCCGCCGTCATTTGTTTTTCGGCGCCAGGCGAAGACCTTTTTATTTAAGCGGCATTTTAACTGTTAATATTATTGGATTTCATCTGGCCAGGGCGGCTTATTTTATATTGTATTTTTGTATTTTTAATCTAATCTTTATATTTTTAATTTAATATTATAATTATTTTTTAATTTATTGTTGTAAGCCACCCCGAGGCTTCGGCGAAAGGGGCGGCATAAAAATGTTTTAATAAATATATATATACACACACATACACACACACACATAAGATACATACTTTTTTTAATCCATCAGAAAGTGACAGAACCATTTTCATGGGCCCCTTGAGGCCTGCAAGTGTATAGGCAGGAGCAAGGGACATGAAGAGCTTGACTTTTTCAGTAAGCTGTGGCAATTCTGAAAAGGCAATAAAACCTACAGAAAAGAGACAATTTGATAAATGAGCAGCTGTAAAATATTTTAAAAGGGAAGGGTTCAATATATATACATACATATTTTGGTCTTTACTACCTTTGAGTTTGACTTCTGGAGCACCAAGAATGGATGCCAGAACAGCATGCCTTTCTTTGCCAGGGGCTTCTGCAATCTCAGTCTATAAGCCCTATTTATGCTTTTAATAGATATTCAGTTTGAGTGTATGTAGCATTTTGATCACTTTTGTTTGGGCAGAATTTTGTCCATGAACACAGTATGATTTCTGGCCTGTGCAGTGTGAGATGTACTTACTCGAATCCTGTCTCAAAGAGTTTTAAATCTCACAGCAGTGACAGAGCAAGAGGGAAAATGTCCTTTTCTCCTCTCCCTCTGTGCCTTTGCTGCTGCTGCCGCCATTACAGAAGTGCAGAATGTGAAGGGAGGGAACTATGTTTTGGGGAGTTGTTTTACAAGATGAGAAGAATGGTCACAGATGGTTGGCAGGATTTTCCCAAGCCCTTGGACTGGCTCAGACTTTGGAAGAACTCAGACAACTGACATCAGCTTAGGAGAGTTTAGCTAATATCTGTTCAAGTTCATGCTTTGACCAGTTTCATGCTACGGACCATGGCCTTGGCATGTTTTCTAAACCCAGGGTGATTTTGGAGTAGTTTATAAGCTATGGTGTTTAAGCCATCCCAACAAGCCATGGCTTGTTTTAGCATTTGTTTGACCATCTGAATGAAGGCAACATAACAAATACATTCCAAAAATGAATGATGTATCACTTTGCAAAGCCCAGTTTGGAGGCAAAGTAAAAAGATAGCTATGGGAGTGTGGGGAACAGACCCATAGCATCAGAATCTTTGGTAGGGGATTCTCGTCTAGCTTTGGGCTGCCCTGTTTTCCAAGTATGGATAACTCAGAGCCACAGAAAAACAGACCAAGCAAAAAAATGTTTTGGGGGACATCCACCTACAGCTTCCTTTTCCAAGCAGGATCCCCATGTGTTTTTGAGTGGAAAATGGTTTCCAAGTGTGCACTGCTTTCCAATTGACCCTGGGTTCCTAGTGGCTCAGTAATCAGCAAAACCTAGGAGTAGGTAGGCACATTTGATACATGTCAAATGAAGCCCTGCTTCCTGTCACTGAGTTTTTGCAGGTTCTCCCCATGCTAGCAGTGTGGAAACCTTGCAAAACTGAGAGCGACTAGGACACCTGCTTGTGCTGGTCACTGTGAATGACCTGAACCTCAGCCTGAATGATGAGAGCTTGAATCTGAAAACACTTCCTACAGAAATGTATTAAAAACTCTACTTTTTTGCAATGTTAAAAATGTTGTTTCTGCTTTTGGGCATTGAACCAAAACAGAAAAGTCTTTGGCAACGCAAAACAACATAATGAAATAACTCCACTCCTTTCTTCTCAACTTACCAATTGCACCACCCTGGGAATGGCCAAGATAATATAATCCATCTTGCTGAGTCTTCTGCAGGATAAAGTTTATGGCTGCAGGAATATCATAGATTCCCATTTCATGAAAGCTGTAACAGATACACAGTATAGTTGAAATTTATCCCATCTATATTTGAGTATAATAGTATAAAATATACAGCCTGCAGACGTGCGGAACCTGTCGTTTGGACAATGTTAGAAGATTATTCTGTGTAAGCAGTTAAACAAAGAGAAAGTATATTTTTCATATTTCAACATCTATATCTTATTTAAAGTTGCCCTATTAGCTTTCAGAGTGGCATATTTCAATGTTGTTGTTATTTTGTGCCTTGATGGGAAACCTGTGAATGAATCCCTTCCAAAATGTGCTCTCCTTGACAGCCCTGCACATATATTGTAAAGTCAAGGCTGTGTAAAGTCAAGGCTTAAGGAACTGATCTCTCTCATCGTTGGTTTTCCTCTTCTTTCCTTATGGAGGAAGTTTCTAAACTTTTAATTATTAAATAAAAAAGATTAGTTTTAAAATTCAAATTTTTACTTATTTCTCTCAGCTCTAAAGCTGGCTTAAGAAATGTGAGATGGGAGAATGGAATACTGCCTGGGACTAAAACACTGTATAGATTATATATCTTGAAGATGATGATGTTGTTGTTGTTAATACTAATAATTATCCTAATAATAATCTGTGTTATAACGACTTTTTCTTTGGAATGTACCAATAAAGAAAAAATAATAATAAAGCGCTGTTAATCCAGAATGTGGAATCCATGAATTTTTCCATGAGGCAAGGAATTTACCATGCAATTCTAAGCTATGTCTACCACTGTCGGTCAGCTATAGTATTTCATTGTGGTACTTCTGGTCTTTAGAAACCACAAAAAGAAACAATATTCTACTGCATGGTTTCACCAAACCTCAAAAGCTGTTTGGGTCACCTGAATCTGGAAAACGCAACCCATTGTGGTGTGAGAGCCAGAATGACAGCTGCCTTTGTGTGCACAGGCATCTTGCTCTGCCTGCTCCTGCCCTGAAGGTCTTTGGGCAGGAGCAGATGACCAGCTGAGCTGCATTGCAGAAAGGTGCAGTGCTGTAGCCCTCTTGCCAGACACCTGCGAGAAGGTCCTCACCTGTGTCAGCAGGGATCAGTTGGCCAGTGCTGCTGAGCTGACTCTCCTACTTGACCCCTCTTGCTCCCGCTTGCAAGAGATGCCTCTCCAACCCACAGCCTGCCCCACCCCTTCCCTCAGCTGGGATCAGGAATCTGTCTTAGCTCCTTGGACTCCACACCGCTGTGGGAGACTCAGAGCCTGAGTCCTGGCAAGCAGGCCCACTGTTCATGGATGCTTGCCAGAAAGCAAGACCCATGCACTGTGCAGCAATGGCTGCTTGTGTGCCAGGAGTGGCCATGCAAACCATGGCTGCTCCTTCTGCCAAAGAAAGGCGGTCATGGGGTGCTCACTAGGAAAGCACCCCCTCAACCACAGAGCAGCAGCATTGTACCCCTGGGCCAGCTATAGCTGTTGCTGACGTGGAAGAAGGTTGCCTGTTGCACAGCCAGGACTGTGCGAGCATTCACTGCCTTCCTTTCAGCTTGGCCCCTCTTCAGGCTAGGCACTAGAGGAAGGGATGCTGGGGGGGGCGGTTCTGACACAGTTCATCCCAACCCCATTCTCAGGCACCAGGTGGGGAATGCCTCCCTCACAAGCCGGAACAAAAACGGTGTGGTCTGCAGGGGATTCAGCTGAACCAAATTCAGCCCACAATCATGGCCGTCAAAGAGAAGACCCTTATTGCTCCCCGCATGTCTCCCCAGGCACTGCCTAGAGGACTGAGAGGGAATTTGCTGGTGGAAGTGAGGAAGTTTACCACCATAAGCCTTTGTGAGGCACACCAAGGTAAAAATCTGTCAGCTGTTCTAACTATAAAGTGCTGTTTGTTGTGATGCGTGAACCCAGACATTGCATTTAAGAGAGCTTACTCCTAGGTCAATACATATAGGTTCGTAGCCAAAACAAATGAGACAAACAGCAAAATGTTCAAGTGTGGAAATTACAGCCAGTTAGCCAAATATGCACTTGTTTTGAACACGCTCCATCCCTATTGGGCTGTTTTAATAGCCTTTGCTACAAAGTAAAAGGACTCTGTTTCTATATTCCACAATGGCAATCCATCCAGAGTGCAGTATAAGCTTAGGCTAGATCTTACGTGAAATTCCAGAATTCTTGTTGGTCAATTGTAAAGTTCTGGTGCCTTCTTGACCAGGTGGTACCTCTGTTATTTATTATCCAGACATCATAGCCAGCATCTGCTAGAAAGAATCCCAGGCTATTGTTGGGAAGATTTGCAATCCAGCTTCTACCTTCAGCCACTAAACCGGGTACCAGTAATACAACTGGTATAGGCCCTGGAAAAGAAGCAAAGGGGCATTTGAGGAGAGCCTTTGTGCATACAACCCCTACGATTTTTTAATTTGCTTGAAGGATCCAAAATTCCCACTGATGTGGCAACTGCTGGATTCACTGAAGCAAACTGCCACATTTATAGAAGAAAGTAATTTCTCTTTTGCAGACCAAGGATTACTTATTGCTGAATGACTTTTCAGGAATAATGTACCTTTTTGCACTATGTCCCAACATTAAGGAACTCCAATATTGTTCATGTACATTCAAGAGCAGATTTTTCTATTTTCACGTGATTCCAGGATAAATAAATTTGTGAAAATAAGTACTTAACAGTTTATGTGTAACCCTGGTTTCCCATTCAGTTCTGCATTATCATCACCACCACCAGCACATTGCAGTTCTATGTGCCTTTTTTTCCTCTTGTGGGAAGCCCAAGTCTGTTTGCTGATTTTATCCTCACAACAGCTAGCTTGTGAGGTAGGTTAGGCTGAGAGGCAGTGACTGGCCCAAAGTCAGCCAATGCGATTCATTAATGTATTTACTTTAAAAATTTTATATACAGTTCTATAGTAAACACTCTCAGAATAGTGTAAAATTATTCAAAATCACATCAAACATAAGACTATAACATATCCACAATACTCATAAGAATTCAAGTAAAATTAAGCTGCTGCTGCTGCTGCTGCTGCTGCTGCTGCTGCTGCTGCTACTACTACTACTACTACTACTACTACTACTACTACTAATAATAATAATGCAATACACAATAACAACTGGTCAACAACAGCCTATTATTGCATGAATAAAAACCAGTATGAAATCAGAGTCTTCTATTCAGCAACAAAAATGTTGGGAAAATAAAAAGGTTTTAACTTGGTGCTGAAATGTATAAAGGGTCAATGCCAGGCATACCTCCCTGGGAAGCTGATTTCGTAATTGGGGTGCCACAGTTGAAAAGGCCCTTCCCCTTATAGCCACCTTTTTAAAAATGGGCCTCATGAAGTAGAACATCTGTAGATGGTCTTAGGGTTCAGGTAGGGATGTGCGGGAGGAGGCATTCTTTTAGCCATCCAGACCCTAAGCCGTTTAGGGCTTTATGCATCCATGTAAGCACCTTAAAGTGAGCCTGGGCTTTGATTGGTAACCAGTGCAGTTGATAAGGCACAGGGCTGATGCCATCCCTGTCAGAAGATAGGCTACCCTATTTTGTACCAGCTGAAGTTTCCAGACTGTTTTAAGGGAGCCCCACAAACAGCGCATCACAGTAGTTCAAGCACGAGCTTACCAGAGCATGGGTTACCATTGCTAATTCTGCCTGTCCAGATAGCCCAGTGGGAACTAAAACATGGATCTCCCAGGTCTCCAGTCCCTCAGATCACCACAGTACACTGACATTTCACTGATTCTTCTTATAAATATATTGACCAGCATGAAGGGGCAGAAAACACAACTGTGGAGAAGACTGCAGCCTTTCTGCAGTTGCATGACCTTTCCCAGACCATTTCCTGCTCTGTATCCTGCTTTCTCCCTACTAGCTCTCATTCTCTGTCGCAAACACACACCTTTGCCACACGGTCAGTGCACTGGGAGGAGAAGGTGTTGAGTCTAGAGGTACTCCTTCCCTTGTTTTAGATATTAGGGTAGAGATAATGATATCTTCAAGGAATCAAACAGACATTAATATTATACTACCAAAATACCAGATTTCCTGGGACTGTGTATCCCGTAAGGAATTCTGTTTGCCTTCAGGTAATAGCCATCATCCGTGAGAATGTCATATTCTTCGTGAGGGTATCCCCAGTAATGAATGATTTCACTCTGCAAAAAAAAGTACCATATTTGTCCCAAACAAAAGCACATAGGTAAAAGTATTGTTGAGTAACATTATTAGCCCTAAGCTCTTGTAAGGTGATAGACTTTTTTTTTTACACATGCCTTTTTTGACCCATCTTTCATAAGCTCTCTTGCTGTTGAGAGCTGGTGTGCATTGTGAGTAGGAATGTGGGTCAGGAATATTGGGCAAATGTCCAAAGTTTTTTGCACTACAAATTTAGGCAAAAGTGATATTAAATATGTGATGCCCTAAATGCAATCTTTGTGCTGTAAGAGTCATAAAAATGAATAGTTTGGTGGTAACAGGAAATGAAATCAAATCACACTTGGAAAATCATGTATCTTGGGATGATCTGTGAACTCCCCAGGTATGCTGTCTCCCTGGAGGACAGATTAACGAGGCTCATCTAGCCCACTGGCACGTATCACTGCTTCCTTAGATATGTGAGAACAAATGACACTGCCAAGCAGAGCTCTAATAAAATCACATCAGACTTTGAAACTGCAGGCTACACCTAATGGAAGATGGACTGCTGGCAACTGATAGGCTGTACCTTACAAGGACTAGAAAGAATGTGTTTGGCCAGACTATGAAGAAGTTTATCAGGAGGGTTTTAAACTGAACCTTACAGAGGAGAGAGACACACCTGGGCATAAGAACAGCCAAAGGCTTGTGCACCACAACAGAGAAAGCAGTTTTGGCAGTGCCTAATGACAGTCTTTCAAAAAATGTAGGAAGAAAGCCAGAGTACAAAGCACATGGTCTTTGATATCTATATACTAATGCCCAGAATATGGGAAACAAAAAGCATGAACCTTCACTTTTAATACATGAGGGCAAATATGACCTGATATGAATAACTTAAACTTAGTAGGACAACTCCCACAACTATAATTCAGCAACTCAGGGCAGCTTACATCATTCTCCTCCTCCATCTTATCCCCACAACAACAACCCTGTGAGGTAAGTTGGGCTGAGAGTCTGTGACTGGCCCAAAGTCACCCAGTTGGCTCCATGGCCAAGCGGGGACTAGAACCCAGATTGTCTGAGTCCCAGTCCCATGCTCTTAACCGCTACGCCACACTGGCTTTCTGAAGGATATAACCTGTTCAAGAAGAACAGAAGGAACAGAAAGGGATGCACAGTCACACTATATGTTAAAGATACATATTTCTGCACAGTAATTCAGGAAGATGTGTTTAGGAGTCCCATCAAGAGCATCTGGATTAAAAGAACTGGAGCAAGGAATAAAACCCAGTAGCTGGAGTCTATTACTGACCACCCAGTCAAGGTGGAAATGAGGATTAAACTTTTGAAAAACAAATTGCCACTGTTTCAGGGAACCATAATGTCATTATTATGGGGGACTTCAATTTTCCCAATATATGTTGGGAGACAAATTCTGTCAAACACAGCCCCTCCAAAAGATTCATAACAAGTGTGGCTGATAACTTCATCCAACAGAAAATGGAGGAAGAAGCAAGAGGAATGACTTGATACTGACCAAGAGGGAAGACCTAGCAGACAAAGTGGCAGCTGCAGGAACTCTAAGGGAAAGTGACTATGCTGAAGAATATAATTTTCCTGATGACGAAACAACAAGGATCAGTTGCTTAGTGTTCTATCAGAGAGACACAAGAAGGCTGAAAATATAAAATAAACCTTTGCCAAAAAGATCAACCTTTGTAAAGATAAGCCTGGAGGGAGATGTTTTCAGTCCAGAAGTGTAGGTAAACATTACCATGTACAAAAGTAACTGAATGTTTTCTCCTGTGTGTTCATGCATGCATGTGTGTTTGGTTACAGATCATTGCAAAAAGCTAAACTTATAAATTTGCTGTGAATGAGGTTTGGTTCCAAATGGACATAGGCTCATTCTCTATTGTTAGTGTTCACTTAAAATAGTCTCTTTTTTAAGATATAAAATTACTTGCTGGTGTTGCTTGTCTCTCTCAGGGTCAGTCAATGAACAAGAGGGCTTTTTTGGTTGTTTTTTTGTCCTTAACAATACTGTACTTGAATTTGTAATTATAAAGGAAGCAAAAGCCTAATGTAGTCAAATATGTACATGTACCCTGGATTTCGAGAAAACCAACTTTATCAAACTCAAAACAATGAGAAGCAAAGTCCCCTGGCAAGTGAAAAAAAATTCCATTCAGCCAATAGATAGCAGTGATTCCATTAGTGATAGTGAAAATCATCCTACACAATAACCCTACTCTCTCTTGTCTCCCTCACACCAAAGGTTTTCAAAGGTAACTGTAGGTTAATTTGTTTTATTTTTCTTCATAGTTTGTATTTTCTTTGTATTTGTATTATATTACAGTATTGTAATCATTGTATATGAATATTTTTGGGTTGTAGAATGAATCATCTGAGTTTCCATAATTTCGTACACGGAAATTCACTTTGTTATACAAGTGCTTTGGATTACAGGCTTGTTTCCGGAACAAATTATGCTAGCAAACCAAGGTTCTACTGTATTTTATGATTCTGTATGGACACTGGTTTCAGTCAACTCATGTGGCACCAGTGGCAGTTTTCACTATAGTTTGGCACAGAGTTGATTTAACATGGTCTTTAACGTGCATTTTGTCTGGGCCCAACAAAATGCCAAGGAGGAGGAGGAGGCAGCGGCATTCCACAGTGCTGTGAAGCAACCTGTCTAATCTGCATGATAAATTAGGCACACAAGTGGATCATATCTAAGACCAACAAACAAAAATGTGTGTACTTGGGCACAGCTTCCTGTTATACTGGTCCTGCTGATTTTAAGATTGACATTTAACCATGCAACAAACAAACCCAGGGACAACCCACACTAGAATCCCTTCCATCTGTCAAGGTGTGATCTTTGAGTATTTGCATAAAACATTTTTTCCTGTGTTGGAGCACATGCTAATTAATATTGCATGGTTTCCACTGTGTTGAAAATATGATATTGTGTCAGACACAAATGCAGTTGTGGGAGCAGTCAGAGGAGCTGAAAGCAGATGTGTGTGAAGGAAATTGCCCTTTGAGTTTTCTTCAGTTGTTTTTCCATCCTTAAGCTTGTATGCAGCTTCACTGGTGTGAAAAAGTGCAGCTATTAATGGTGATGATGCAATAGACAGTTCTTCCTGCTCATCCAGAAAAAACATGGAGAAGAGAAGGGGTGGAGGGTTGTGGCATGGCTTTTGGTCTTCTCCCACCTCTCATGAGGCCTGCAAGATTCACTCCCACAATCCCCTCTGCCCAGAAGCACTTCTCCAAAGTGAGTGTAGCTCTTTCCTATGCTGGCTTTCCCAAGAGTAAGTAGCCATGTAGAGGAGTGTACTTTCAACTAGTTGTTCCTTGAGATCAGAGGGAAAAGGAGACGATTGAGAAAGGCTGTGAGGAGGACAGAGAAGCAGTACTGCACCAATCGAGAAAGAGAGAAGCCACTGGGGAGGAGCCACTGTCTCCTCCAGGGTTCCTGCTGTTGTATTGAGGCTGCCCATGCTGATCTCAGCCATTAGCATCCTTCCCCACTTCCCATCGCTGGGACCAGTATAAGAAGTTCGTGCCATTTGCAGATTTGCATTTCCATCCCCATGCATTAGCAGAAAGTGCTAAGAAGGTGTCCAGCATGACACTTTCTCCTGCAGTACCATTCCCCACAACTTTTCATCCCACAGAAGCTGCTCCTCCACTCCCAGCACAGTATATACATTTAGCACAGTGGAATATGAACCTCTGAAAAAATGCAAAAAAAATATGATGTAGCTATTTTGAGGGCATCTAGAATATAATGGCAGAACTAGTGCAAGGGGCTGGTTGAGGTGAGCATCATGTGACACACTAATGGGGCAGGGACTACAATGCCAGTACAAATCCCTAGGATAAATACCTTCTCTAGGAAGGAGACCTGAGTTAAACGCTTTCAATTCATGGAATGATCTGTCTAAAATTATCCAGGAATGGATAGTAGTTTGGTGGGAAAGGTCCCTGCAAGCTGAAAAGAAATAGGTTGAAAAGAAAATTAAACACCCCCTTCCCTCAGCATAATCACTGCATCCAAATTCACCCCAAAGAGCAACTTACAATAGTCATAAATTGTTGAGGGTTCAAATGCCTGGGTCTTGTGCTTTCTTCTGAAAATGTAGTCTGCTGGATTGAGCACATCACTGCCAGAAACAACCACATTGTGGACTCTTCCAAAAAATACCAGTGCTTTCAGACAACGAAGTCTAGGCTCTGAAAATATAGATCTTTGTCATGGGAGAAGAATGTAGAACACGGATTGGGGAAGGCATGGTTCAGAAAAGAATGCAATGGGGGTATTGACTCAAGATTGTCAAATTAATGATAAACCATGGGAACAAGCTTACTACATTAGGATTATTTCCATTCAGGTGTGCCTCGCAGTAAGTTTCATTTCAGTTTGTGGAACTTACTTTCAAGTAAATGGGTTCAGCGTTGGAATACTGAGTATGTGTTGCAGCATAGAAAGGTAATAAAGGCAGTAACAAAACAGTATCAAGAAAAAAAGAAATTATTCTAAGAATGGTGAGAGGCCTGGGAAGAGGACTACCTTGCTGCTTAAGAACTGGCTGCCCCTGCCCTTCCTCCCTGTCTCCCAGTGTCAGATGGCCAACAAGTTTTGGTGTCAGATGGCCAACAAGGGTGTGGGAGCAATCTATGGACAGCACGGAATACTTCAGGTCAGACTTTCTTCTAGGAATTATCAAAAGTGTCAGTTCTTTTTTTATTTTCTCAATTTGTCAGTTTGGAAGAATCACTTTAGCTATACATTTGGTTTAAGATTTGCATTAAAATGCACATGGGCTTTTGTGCACTTTTGAGAATACACTTTAATTTATAAAATGTGCCTAAAATACATATAATGGACTTTTGTATGTTATTTTCCTAATAAAAGAGTCTTTGCACACATCATGTTTATTGGAGAACTAGAACTCAAAAACACCCACTTGATCTCCAAGTCAAACTAAATATTTTCCTAATCACCTTTAATTTAACTATGCATCATTATTGCATTTACCTTCCTACAACCACAACTATATACAGGACAGTGCAAAGGGGTTATTTAACCTTCTTTCTGGTCCTCCCCAACAAATTTCCAATCACATGTTGCGGGGAGCCTCATTTTCTTACCCCTATTTCCCATTTTAGTGAGAAATGGTTTGGGTGAGTTTAAGCTTATCCTTCTGCAGTGCCATGGTTCCAAATGAAGCCCTGATGTATCTACAGAAAATTTTAACAATATATGAAATTATAAATCTATTTAGACAATGGATAGATTAAAAATCTCCCTCCCCCCACCCATCTCTCTCTCTCACAAACACACACACACACACAGAAAGAGAGAGAGAGAGAGAGTTTGTTCGAGCTAAAGACAGGCTCTTTTGGGGTTTCTGTGCCTTGGAGAACCTGTTGCTCACCTCTGCAGCTTCAGCTCCTGTACCTGGACTAGGTTGCTCCACTGTTCAATCTCTGCCCAATAGCCTTGCGTTCACTGATGTTCTGTGTATCCACTTTAAGAAGCTGGCTGAGTTTTTCAGAGGAAGATATTCTGCAGCACATAGTAATTATGTCCTCTTTATAATTACCAACACCTCCTCCTACACCTCTTCATTTTAATAGACCAGTTCCGATCTTATCTCTTCATTGCTTTTCTGTGTGTAAACATCTTCTTGTTTAAAATCTTGCCTCGCTTTGCGTGTATGGGTCACCTGTATAAATTCCTACTACATTTTAGAATTACATACAATTCCCTTTGTCCTGTGTTTGACACAGGAACCCAGCATGCCATAGCGCATCCACCTATCCTTTCTTGTTGCCTTAAGTGCAGTGAAAGGGTGCTAATGGTGCAAAGCCTCACCCCCAGGAATCAGCAACCACAAATGTGGAGGCTGCAAAATGAAAGCTTCACAGCTCTTCCTTGTTTGTTCAGGGCATTAACTGTAATTCTTCTTACTCACAAAGTGAGTCAATTAATGTTGCCTCTGTAAAGGTAAAGGTAAAGGTTTCTCCTTTACATTATGTCCAGTCATGCCTGACTCTAGGGGGCGGTGCTCATCTCTGTTTCCTAGCCAAGGGAGCCAGCGCTTGTCCGCAGACAGTCTCTGGTCACGTGGCCGGCATGACTAAACACTGAAGTGCACGGAACGCTGTTACCTGCCCACCGAAGTGGTACCTTTTTATCTACTTGCATTTGCATGCTTTCGAACTGCAAGGTTGGCAGGAGCCTGGGACGGAGCAACGGGAACTCACTCCGTTGTGCAGATTCGAACCGGCGACCTTTCGATCACCCAGCCCAGCAGCACAGCAGTTTAAACCACCGCGCCACCTGCCTCTGTAAGGCACAATTATCATTTGGGAAGAACAAAAGCAAAAAATCATGAAGCATAAAACACATTATAACCCATATCCATACACAGTAAATTATTGAGCTCCTCTCTTGTCATCCGTCACTAGCCCTCAGCTGGAAAGTCCATTGGGGTATGTCTGGAAATTCTGGTTAATGTAAAGCCAGCTGCCTACATGCACCTCATATATATTGGTACCCAGTCATTTGTTCCTTTACAGATCCGTGGCATGCAATAGAGCTGATCTTTTCAGAAGAGGAAATGACCGCTTCATAACAGTATAGAAAAGGAAAACATAATAATTCCATTATGGAAATAAAAATGCAGGAACATGAGAAGTTCTTGCAAAAGAATTGGTACAGCTCTTTTGGGGGCATTCAAGTATTGAGAATGTAATTTCAGATTGCTTTTTTTTTTTTTTTTAGAATACCCTTGTTACTTACAGGCACCAGCCATTGAACACTTCATTAAATTTCAAATGTTGAATATGAATTTTGAATTGTTAAAAAGTCATTTGGATGGGATATTCATCGAGGGAAATTCAACCAAATTAAGCACTTGAAATTCTTATTAATTTTAATAGGACATATTTCACCATATGCTTAAATCA